TGCTTCTTCCTTGATTTATTTTATTTTTATTTTTATTTTTTAAAATATATCTTTATTGATTTCAGAGAGAGGAAGGGAGAGGGAGAGAGAGAGATAGAAACATCAATGATGAGAGTCACTGATCGGCTGCCTCCTGCACGCATCCTACTGGGGATCGAGCCAGCAACCCAGGCATGTGCCCTGACCGGGAATCAAACTGCAATCTCCTGGATCTTAGGTTGATGCTCAACTGCTGAGCCATGCAGGCGGGGTTCCTTGATTTATTTTAGTATTTGTTCTCACAGGTCTTTTCTGAGGGGAGGGAACAAGACTTTCATTTTTATATAATTACAAACTTATTAAAAAGTTCCAAAATAGTACAGTATTCCAAAATTGCTCCATTCCCTCTCACTCTCTCTGTCTCTCTCTCTCTAATATGTTTACTATATATTTGTAATATACATATTTTACACATATACTCCCACACACATACTTTTCTCAGAACCATCTGAGCATATACAATGCAAACATACTGCCACATTTTACCCTACAGTTCGGTGTGTATTTCCTAAAATAAGAACATTCTCTTACATAACCACAGTCCATATTTTAAAAATCACTCCAACAATAGCCTTTTGAAATTACATATATTTTTCCAGGTCCAGGATCAAATAGTGTATTTAGTCCCCATGTCTCTTTAGTCCCCTTTAATCTGGAACAATTCCTTAGTCACTCTTTGTCTTTGTTGACCTTAATATTTCTTAAGAGCACAGGCCAGTTATTTCATGGAACATTCCTCTGTTTGGGTTTCCTGATGCTTCCCGAGGAGTGGATTCGGCTACTGCCTTTTTGGCAGGAATGCCGCAGAGGTGATGTTGCATCCACCTCATGCATCAGAGCAGAAGGCACCTGGTGTAGGTCTGTCCCAATATGGGTGACGTTAACTTTGTTGGGTGAAGGTGGTCTCTGTCGGGTTCCTCCACTATAAAGTTACTATTTCCCTTTTGTAACTTAATTAGTCCTGTGTGGGGCAGTACTTTTAGAATATAAATATTCTGTTTCTCAAACTTTCACCCATTAGTTTTAGCACTTTCTTACTCCATTTTCCTTCTATACTTATTGGTTGGCATTTTACTACAAGGAAGAGTTTTTCCTTCTCTTTCATTTACTTATACAATCATTTCTTTCTTTGTAGCACTATGAACTCATCGGTTTTCACTTTACTCATAAAGGTTATATTCCGCTGCTATCAGACTTGTCTTCGGTTCAGCCCCTTCGAGCTGGCCCGTGTCTCTTTGAAACGAGTCTCCATCATCCTTCGGGCATCCTCTTGCTTTCTGGCACCAGGTTTTTCAGGCTTATCTTACACTTTCCCTACACGAGCCCTGGAATCAGCCCTTTCTCCACTGAGCCGGATTCCTTTTGGTGTTAAAAGATAATTAGAATCCAAGATATAGATGCCAGGTGGGGTCCTGCCACTATTGTATTATTGCTTCTAGGCTTTCTCAGGGGACAGAGATAGAAAGCTTCCCAAGCTTTAATGCGCATCTGAGTCACTGGGGATATTATTAAAGTGCAGATTCTGATTCAGTTGGTCAGATTTACCTGCTGGGGTGATGTCATAGACTGCTGCTCCAACAAGCTTCCATGCTGACACTGCTCCACAAGTCAGGTCTTGAGCACCAAGGACATAGGACAATGGTTCTCAAACTTAGGCATGCATTGGAATCACCTGGGGGGTGTGTTAAAATACATATTCTGGGGTTTTCTCTCCAAGTTTCTGATTCCGTAGGCGGGGACTGAGAATGTGCAGTTCTAACAAGTTCCCAGGTGATGGTGCTATTGCTCATCGGATGGGTTCTCAAACATGCCCGCATATTGGAATTCTTGAGGAGTTCTTTGAATTTTTGTGTTTGTTTTCAATACTGACTGACCCTTAAGGCCCCAGAGATTATGATTTAATTGGTATAAAATGTGGCCTGAAAGTTGAGAACGTTATGAGCTCCATAAGTGGTTCTATTCCTCAGCACAGGTTGAGAAGATTGTTCTAGGAAAAGGTAGGAGTGAAATACGAAGTCCTTTAAGAGGGAACGAGCTTGACATTTTCCAGCGCGAGCAAGGAGCCCAGTGTGGCTGGGCAGAAGGAAGTGAGGTCAGAGAGGTGGGGGGGGGGTGATCACGAGGGAATGAGATGGGTCAGGTGTGTAGAGGTTACTCTGGTGAGATGGGAAACAACTGGAAGCTCTAAGAGAGGATTGCGTGACCCGAATGCCTTAACCATGGCCCTCATCCAACAGTCTCAAGGCCAGCTCTTGTCTGCTCATCCAGAGGCTTTCTACCCAAATGAGTTTGAAATGTGATGACTAAAGGATGAAATAACTTCACAGCCTTCTCCAAATGCTCCCCACATTTTAAGTATGAATTTTATTTAGAATTACTTTCCAAAGCTTGAAATCCTTGAAAAGTAGGTTTAGTCATAGTAATAAAGCTATGTCATGGAAGAAAGACTTGGTGGATAGGGGACTCCAGTTATTGATGAAGACATCCAGGAGTGCTTTGCTTTAAAAAAACTTAACATATATTGCACAATAATTGAATATACTCAGCACCACTGAACTGTACACTTAAAAGTAGTTAAGATGGTAAATTTTGTTATGTTTTTTTACCACAATTTTTAAAAAAGATAATATTCACATATATAAATAAATCTGCAAAGCACTAAATTCTTTAATTTGTTAAATTTTATTTGTTTCTCAGGAATGTTACTATGGGTATTTTACTACCATATAGAAAACTACATCATACCATTAAGAATAATGAAGGGCGCTCTCCCTCTCAGGAGCACACCTGAGCCTTTCCCTTCCCTCTCTTCTTCACCCCAGGTGCATGACCTTTGCTTTTCTCTCTTCTAAACTCCAAGGGCCCTTCTTTTGCCTTTGTAACTTGCTCCCTGTGCCCACACAGCTCAGCTAGCTCAATTCTACTACTTCTGTAACTTTCTAAATAAACTTTCTCTTATAATTTGGGGGAAAATGAATAATAAAGAATCTCTGCCAAGAATGAAAAAAGTGTATAAAACCATGAACTTGGGAAATGGGCAAAGTTGGTACAAGCGCTCACTTTAACAAAAGGATACTTTATGTGAAGGTTTTTACATAAGGTTCACCTAAGTAATAACGTCCCTCTAGGGCACTAAAAACATGATTCGTTTGACATGTAACTGCAGAAACAACTAGCCTGGAGAGAGAGGCCAACCAGAGGCCTTCTGCAATGTCAGTTCCAACAAAGTGATAATAACTTTGAGATTTTGCTATCTGCTTTATCCCCTCAAGGCCATTGCACAATATGAGTGTGCTTGGATTGGACAGGATTCCTGTGACACGATTCACATACTATTTTGATTCTGGCAGCTGGTAACCTTTCTTCTAGGAAATGGGAGGAAAAAAACCTCATTGGTGATATTCTATTGCTCTGAGCATGCGAGGGCCGCAAGGCTGCCCAGGGCAAACTGAGCAGAGGCAGGTGTGACACCTGGGTAATTTTTAGCAACACTCCCAGGCCTGATGTTTGATGGTGGCCTGCAACCATCTGTCAACCTGCCATAAAGATGACCTGCCCTTTCTCTCAGTTATTTGAGCCCTGGGTTTTTCCTGGGCAGAAGCTGACAGTGATATCATCATCTTGTGATGCTGTTGGGTGACCTTGTTCACTGAGCTGGTTCCACTCATTACTCTTTTATCCTAGAGTTGAACTGAGAAAAACATTGCAAAGAAACAAGGAGGGCAAGGGGACTCTGCAAAGGGGAAGCCCCCGGGCTAACCTCGTCTGATTTCCAAACCCTTATCATGATAAGCTTTAATCTGACCTAGTTCCTAGGAGTCCTCAGACTGGAAAAGTCATAAAGGAAAAACAGTGCAAGAAGAGATCAATGAGATTATTTTTTAAAGCCTTGCAGTAGATTCAGCTTTGAACTCATAAAGAACAGCTTTGATCCTTGTTATAAGGACAGATGAATATTTAAGAGTGGCCTTTCATACTAAGGACAAAGTACAGAGGCCGTTATGTGGAGCTACTGGTTTAATTAAGGGAAACAAAGATACACTGAGCTCCTCCTGCACGCCAGGCCCTGAGCTAGATCCTATAGGACATCATTTAACCCTCAGCCTTCTTCATGAGATGGGCACTGCCGCTACCCTCATTTTGCAGAGGAGGAAACTGAGGATCAGAGAGGCTGTTATCCAGCTAGTGAGCTCTGGTGCTGGGACATAAACGTGAGGCTTTTTGACTCCACGTCTGTATTCTTTACCGAGCACATACAGTCATTGGCTTTCACATACTATACCCAAGAGTTTTTCAAGAATACCATATTTAGGCTCTTTTAATCCATAACAGAATGATCCCAGGCCTTTCCCCCACAGCACATAATGTTTAAACTGAAAGGACATCGTACAGATGAAGATACAGAGGTCACGAGCAGGTAAAAGGATCTGCTCAACGGAATGGAGGAATCTGGCCTCAAACCCTGACAAAAGCTCTGACCACCAGTCAACTACATGCACAGAACAGAGTGCTCTCAACAGCCATCTTGCCTGGAATGTGGCCTTGCTGACAATCTCATTTTAGTTCAACAGGATGTGGACATAATTAGAAGGGCATTTTACCTTACAACTCGCTCACTGAACAACACACTATGTTTTCTTTCCTTCTTTCCTCCTGGCATCAGTAGATATTGTTGGGTTGGAGTTTCTCAAACTGTTTGGGTTTAAGAAAATAAATAACACAGACTTTGCCAGCCAACATTAATATTCTGTATATTGACTGAAAACCAAGAAAAGTTGAAATTGAAAAGCAAAGAGCACAGCACCACCTGGTGTTGACAATTAGGACATACAAGTTTAGTTGCCCTCGGAAGCATGGATTAGTAGTAGCACAAGCCCCTTAGGGGTAAAACTCCCTACATTTCCCTTCAAGTGAAGAATTGAGGCCCAGAAAGGATAAGAGATTTGACAAAATTCACAAACCTTGGGGGAGAAAGCTGAATCTAGAGTGTCTGATTTCCAATTCTGTGGTCTTTCTGAGGAGGGGAGAGTAGTCATTAACCTGTGAGCATGGAGCTTATTATATATGATCCAAGTGGCAGCTGGAATTCACAAGACCCCTTCCTGTGAAAAGGGAAGGAAATGTTAACATGCAATCAGATGGGACTGTGCGGCAGCATAAATACATATTGCATAGCTCTGGGGACTATGGTGTGAGCAAGGAGCTGCTGGAGTCACTCAATAGCTCCAATCTAGATTTTGTACTAGATTAGCTTGAACTTGCAAGTCTCTTTCACCCTCTTAGCCTTTTCCTCCCCATCTGTTCGAAAAAGGTGCTGAATTACACCTGGACCTGTGAAGTCTTTATGATCTGGCCCCTCTCTGATCTCATCTCCCACTGCCCTCCCTTGGCTCAGTCTCCTCCAGGCCATTGGCCTCCCTGCTGACCCTTAATCAGGGAAAACTGTCCTTGCTTCAGAGCCTCTGCACAGGTTCCAGCTGCTTGAACAAATGCCATTTTGCCAAATCCTCACAGGGCTGGCTTCCTCCTGCTGTTCAGGTGTCTGCTCAAAAGTTACATCTTTAGACAAACTCCTGCTGAGCTCCTCTCATGTGTCCTGTCCCCAGCTGCTGCCACAGCCTGTCAACTTACCCTCCATGTCTTTCATAGCACTTGGCATTGTTTTCTCAGTTTGTTTTGTTCAGTCCTCTGTTGACAGGGCCTACACTTAGTAGACATTTGATAATCATTTTTAATTGACTGAGTTAAATTATTTCATGGTCCTCCTGAAAAATATCTGGGGAGAGAATGAGTGTGGATAGTTGGAATAAGATAATAATGACCTTAGCAAACTTAACTGGCCTCCCAATCCTGCCTCCATTTCTGGGACTTCTGAACCTGGTGTTCATGATATATTAGTAACATTGCAGGCACTGTCCTAGACTCCCTTACAGCTGAACTTAGGGCATAAGTAATTTGCCCAGCTGATAACGTGGCACAGCTGGGATTTGAATCTATGTTTATCTGACTCCACCACATTTCCAGAATCTAATGGTCAGTTTCCAACCCAAAGGCAACTAACTCTGAGGGTCCTGTCAACACCCAGAGCCCAGAGCCCCACAGCACTGTAGGTGGGTGGGATGAGTGCCAAGAAAAAAATTCCTCTGGAGTAATCAATATTAGAAACCACAGTGGGGCATGTTGCTTCCACATCCAGGAAGCTTCTAGAAGCAGCCAAGAAAATAAGAATCTACATGCTCCAGGTATTAAAATTGAGCAATGGATCTAAAAGGAATTTAAAACACTTAGCCTTGGCTTCCTCACTTCCTGGTGTTAATTTTCCATGTAAATTGATAACTAGTTATCTACATTTGGCAAATACTGTTATTCTCAGGTATATATGGTAAAGGGGACAAGAGAGAGAGGCAAAAAAAGTGGGGAGCATTGTCCAGTTGTGGGAGGACATTACAAGTACCTGGAAAACAATATGCAAAGTTCACCTTTGACAGTACCATTTGCCCTGGATGGGTAAAGAAGTTACTAATATATACAATGGAGTATTATCCAGCCATGAGAAAGGAGGAAATCCTGCCATTTGCAACAACAATCCTGAGGGCACTGTGCTAAGTAAAGTAAGTCAGACAGAGGCAAATACTGTATGGTATCACTTATATGTGGAGTCTGATTTTTTTTTTAAAGACAGGCTCTTAGAAACAGAGTAGAAAAAAGGGCGGGGAATAGAAAGAGGCTGGTTAAAGGGTATAATCCTTCAAGTATGAGATGAATAAGGTCTGAGGATCTAATGTAAAAATCATGGTGACTATAGTTGACAGCACTATATTATACAGTTGCCGTTTGCCGAGGGTAGAACTTAAATGTTCTCACACAATTAGAAAAGATAAATACATGAGTTGATGGATGCATCAACTAGATAGTGGGAACCCTTTCACAATGTATATCAAATCACCACAATGTATACTTTATTTTTTTGTTAATCCTCACCCAAGGATATTTTTTCCACTGATTTTAGATACAGTGGAAGAGAGGGAGGGAGGGAGGGAAAGAGGGAGGAAGGAGAGAAAGAGACATAGATGTGAGACACATTAATTGGTTGCCTCCCACACTCACCCCAACCCAGGTACATGCCCTTGACCAGAAATCAAATTTGCAACCCTTCAGTGCACAGGCCGACGCTCTAACCGCTGAGATACTTTAGATATCTTACAATTTTATCAATTATACTTCAAGCTGAAGAAAAAAAGTACCATTTGCCCCTTACATCCACAGCATTGTTGCTGATTTTCTCATAGCTTAATTACTCAATCATTCAGTATTTATTGAGGATAAACTCTTGGCCAGGCCCCATGCCAGGGGTTATGAATACTGTACCTGCTCATAAGCAACAACTTGTCTGGAGGAGTTCAGTGCTATTCACTCACAGCATGCAAGTATCCTGCCCTCCTCAAGAGCTCCGAGGACCTCAATACCAACTCTCAGCCTAACACCCTCCTGTGTTGCAGGTCACCCACTTAGTCCCCCACCCCCACCCTCAGAGGACTCCAGCTACCATCAGGCCCAGTCATCAAACAAATCTAAGTTCCAACCACACTGATTCCCCCTCAGGGTGCTCCAGGACCTCCTACTAGATTCCAGAGCAATGGCTTTAAGTCAGTGTCTCCACTATGAGGTGTGTTTCAAGAAACTTGTTACTAATAATCCAATACCAAAGGGGTTTATTTTTCTATAGAGGAGACTACAAGTTAGCTTTACATAATAGGCACTTTTTGTCACCAGCTCCCATCCATCATTTCCTCTAATTCCCTTTGGAGAACTACCCCTCTCCAAATTCAGACCATATAGCTCAACGGAAATAATCTTGCTCTTAGTTCCAGGATAGGCATGTGGCTCAGGCCTGGCAAATAGGAGCCCTGCATTTACATGACCGTAAATAATGACTAGATGTGAACTGGCACATGAACCAATCAAGGACAATGAGACCATTGCAGTTGGCAGGCAGTAGGTTGTAAAATCAGCTACCAGGCAGGGCTTGCCCAAGAATGAAGCCCACATAGTTCAACAGAGCTGAGTGACAGAAATATCAATCAACCCTCTTGGTCCTGCCAGGATGACTCCCAGAATTTCCAGTTACTTTCCAGGTCCAAAGCAGGTGAGCATTGCTCACAGCTGGCAAGTAAATGCTCACACAATAGAACATTCCTCCCTCCCCCCTTTTTCAAAAATATATCTTTATTGATTTCAGATAGAGGAAGGGAGAGGGAGAGAGATAGAAACATCAATCATGAGAGTCATTGATCAGCTGCAGCCCGCAACCCAGGCATGTGCCCTGACCGGGAACCGAACCCTGATCGCTGGATCCTAGGTCGATGCTCAACCACTGAGCCACGCCTCCCCTTCTGACCGTGGGCTGAAAGCAATGTGGGCAATATAGGTATTATATGTTATAAAAGTTGTGTGAAACCAGTTTCATAATGTGCAAATACGTCTAGTTTAGGAAGATCTTCAACAAGCACTATTTGAAATTTGTGGAAATTGACTATCTGTAGCTAATGATTTTAGTCTAACTTGGAACACTCAAATTACTTGGTTAATTTGGGCATATTTTATCTCAAAGATGAATGTGTGGTCCTGCATTTTGTCTGTCCATCTTTCTTTGTGGAAGACAATAATTCTTAAAAATCTCTTTCAGGAAAGCACCAAGACAGAAATCCAGTATGGCATCTGCTTGAGAGGATTCCAAAGGAGATGGTCAAAAGGCTTCTCTTCCGCTGTATGACACCGTGTTGCAGAAACCATCAGCCACCAGCTCTAATGACCACAGGCAATCCAGATGGCCAGAGCTCAGTACTGTGCAGCCTCGAGGTCCAAAGCATGGTTCCTCCCAGGGACCCTCTGACTGCTTAACTCCTGAAGGCAAGACCCTTACAGACCTGTAGAGGAAGTCTTGACGTGGAGGACTGTGGCAGGATGCTGCTTGCACTGCCCTTGTGGATGAGTCCCAGTTCCAACCCTCCACACAGGTAGCCTGAGCTCCACACGGGCTCACAAAACCCACATTGCCTCCTATCTGGTAACACACAGATGGTTTTCCTGCAGTTAATGTCTTATTGCCCCTCTCCCTGTTTCTTAGCAGTCAAGAGGTAACTGGATGTTTGCACGTTGCAATTTTTATATGCACATGAAGGTAACTGTGTTAAATTTTAAGATTCATCGTTTTAAGAAATGTGTAAAAAAAGTCCTCACAGCCAAAAGTTCTCGGGTAATGTATCAATTTTAGGAGAAAGATGACCAAGACTGGAGTAGGGCAAGAGTCCAGGAACTAAGCATGGCTATCAGAAGCCATTAAAAATAAATGCAATGCTGGAATGAGCAGGAGGGTGTAGCAGAGCAAGAGGGCTGGATGACAATTCAGGCCAGGGCTGTGGTGGACATCAGGAGCCACATTACTACCCCGAGCCAGGGTCTCCACAGCACGCCTGCACCACACACTCACTGAGAGGAGCCCGACATATTCACATCCTATTGCCTTGTATTAGCTGTGTAACATTTCTGTAGGAAAGGGTTGTAAGGATTAAATAGAAATATGTATACAAACTACTTTTGCTTGGTGCACTTTGTTCAACAAATTATGGTAATTACTGTGTATCATCACCTGGGCAAGAGTCCTATTCAGAAAGTATGATCCAAAGGATGGGCCACTTGCTAGCACCAGAACCACAAGTCTCACTTTTCAATAGTGAACAGGTTGCTATAAACAGATCACCTTCTGGGACTACTGAAGCCTAAGGACAAAGTGTGGAGGTAGCAGAAGTGAAGGGAGGTTCTCTCCTGTCTACTCATGTTAGATAAAACCCTAGTCAGCTCACTCACACTTGTTTTTCCCTTCTCCATTAACTTGCAGGGACAGGTACAATAAATAATGAACATGGAACCTTCCTACTCAAGTCTATCGAAAGCATCTTTCTTGCACATGGCTTAAAATATTGTGCATATTAGCACATTGTGCCTGATAATGGATTAACACACGTTCAGCATATTTACAGACAGACCACCACGTCAAATTTTCTATTTCCAAATGGTACAACCTACTTAATGAAGGATGTCAGGTTCTAAACCCTGTCTTAATAGTTTTAGAAATTGTAACATACATTTACTTTCCCCTTTATCTTTCAAGCATTAAGTGCTCACCGACTGAAGCTAGAAATAAAAACAGCTTTGCTTTTTACCACTTTGTTTTATTGTCGCACTGAGACAGGTTGTTTTAGTCCTCTCATCATTAATGGGCTATGATCCAAGAATGGAAAAATGGTTTCTTTGAGTATTAACTATGTGTACTATTGGTAGATATGACCAAGCTGAACCACACAGGTATATAACCACTGAAGATTAACCCTAGAAATAAATCAGGCCAGACAGAAGTAACAGATATCATGCTTCATCCTTCACTGCAATGTTAATGTTTACAATGACACATCACTTCCCCCACTCCCTCCTCCCTTCTGATTTGGGTGCTCTTCTTTGTCTTATGGCATCCTATATATGCATTACTATGTCAGCACTAATCTCACTGTCCTGCAATTATTGGTTTAAACAACTGCCTTCTCAGAAGACTCGAGGAAAAGAAGCATATTGACAGTACTCAGCCTGGTGCCTCAAACACGGTCGATGCACTACATGTGTACAAATACAATGAATGTAAGACATGTGCTTCCTTTAAAGAATTCACAAGACAGGAGACGGCATTAAAAAAAATCAAAAAGAAAGCATCGAATTTAATTTAAATTAAAAAAATCAGAAATGGTCTGAAAAAAATCAATGGAGCAAATCAACTCCTAAAAAAAGAGGGTTGTATCGTGGTAATCATATTTATTCGAAGGGTAGGAGAAAAATAAAAATTCCATTTTTAAGAATTTGTGAGTTATGTTCAAATCAACTCAATTCAGGAGTGGAAGAATCCATGGTCACTTCTTAATATCAAAAATTACGCACGTTTCTCTTTTGAGTATCTTCTACTTTTGAAGACGCAATCATATAAAGTCTCCTAATTTCCACACAGGAAAATTCTGTGTTTCAGCCAACTCTCAATGGAGGGGCAACTAGCACAACACCATCTCCCCGGACAAAAAGCATTGGAATATTCCGTTTTGTTGACTGGAAGAAGAAAAAAACAAAAACAAACATAACACATTTATACAAATATGTAGTAGTATTGTTTATTTGTTGTTGTTGTTTCATGAGAGAAATTTGAAAACAAAAAACCAAACACAGATTCACTATAACACAAACAAATTGATTAAAAAACCTGATCACTTACCTTTGTAGCACAAAAAAAACACAGTCTTTTAACTGTTTATTTTTCCTGCGTATCAGTAACTAGGGCAGAGACTGGACTATCCAGCAATATCCATTCTCCTCTTCTGGTACACAGCCAGACAATATCTCACACTCCCTTGCAACCAGATATAGCCATGAGATTGAGTTTTAACCATGAAAAGTAAACAGAAGTGACTGAGTGATCCATAAACCTCCCATAAATTTCCCTCTATGGTCTTCCTCCCACTGGTAGAGAATCCATGGAATGGCAGAACCCTAAGATAGAGGAAGCCTGGGCCCCTGACTGAGCATCTGGAAGAAAGCTATTGTGTTGACCTAAAACCCCACTCAGGCTGGTTGTGGGGAGAAATAAAGTTCTATTGTGCTGAGTCATTACAAGTTGCTATTGCATTCATACATATGAAATGGATACCTTGGGGTGTTAGCCTAGATGTCAAGCCTTAGGCAATAATGAAACATGAACTGTTTGAAATCTTCTTATGCCTTGGCAAACACATGGTAAAACTGCCTGCAATAACTTGGAAAGTAGCCCAAGGACCTTCCAAACCTGTAGGTTCTGGGGAAGAGATTGGAAAAGTCAAATGTTGGTAGGTGTTGCTGTTAAACTGATGCATTCCGCAAGGAGTATAAGAAAATGATGAGCTCAGGAAAGAGCTCATCAAGCAGAGATTACATGAAATAGGATTCAAAGGGTTAGAAAAGCCAATTGTTTTTAGACCCCAAACTGTAGACTTAAGTAGGAAAAAAAGGTTTGATGAACAAAGCCCAGGAAAACTCAGTTAAACAAACAGCCTGGAGATAAAGCAGATTAAGGGTATTGCCACCCAAACTCACTTGAGCAAATAGCCTCGAAGTAGTGAAAATTAATAGGGACAGGAATACAGTTGAGAAGGAAATAAAGGCATCATCCTGGCCGGTGTGGCTCAGTGGTTAGTGTAGGCCTGCACACCAAGGGTCACCAGTTCGATTCCTGGTCAAGGGCACATCCCTGGGTTGCGGGTTTGCTCCCCATCCCCACTTCGGACGCGTGCAGGAGGCAACCAATTTGTCTCTCTCACATCAATGTTTCTCTCTCCCTCTCCCTCCCTTCCTAACACTCTCTCTGAAAAGGCAATGGGAAAAATATTGTCAGGTGAAGATTAAAAAATAAGTAAGTAATTAAAAAAATAAAGGCATCTATAAGCTTTGTCTAGGAAAGAACATTAACTGGGGATACTGGCTCACAGAATTGATTGGAAGTAACAGATTGGAAACATATGAATTCCTAATTTTTAAAAAAATTGCACTGCCGAAGAAACCATATCCTGCCCTGGGCAGTGTGGCTCAGTTGGTTAGGCACTGTCCCGTACACCAGGAGGTTGCAGGTTTGATTCCCAGTCAAGGGCACACGCCCGGGTTGTGGGGCCAGATCCCCAGTAGGCGGTGTGCAGGAGGCAGCCCATCATCAACATTTCACTCTCAGATAGATGTTTCCCTCTCTCTCTAAATAAAATAAAATTAAAAATTTAAAGAAGAAAAGTAAACAACTTCAAGCCCTGGCCAGGTGGCTCAGTTTGCTGGAGCATCATCTTGTACAACAAAAGGTTGTGGGTTCGATTCCCAGTCTGGGCACATACCTAGGTTGTGGGTTTGATCCTCGGTAGGGGTGAGTATGAGAGGCAACTGATTGATGTTTCTCAAACCTTTCTCTAAAATCAATAAAAAACCTTATCCTCAGATGAGGATTAAAAAAAAAGGAAACTATTTCAATTGTGCTATCACATGTTTGGTGAGTATTTGTTACCATAGTCTAGCCAACATATCTATAAGGGTAAACTTTCAACTACCCTAGTATGAGTTACCCACACTGAGCTATCTGTTTATATCATCTATCTAGGAGACCAGGCTATGGACAAATAATTCTAAAAAAGGGGTCCAGTGTGTGAACTTGTATTTTCTAGGTAAAAAAATAATTCTATAAAATCAGTATGAGAAAAATGTAATGGATTTTGTAGTGATAGCGGTGAATTTCACCCAGAATATACATATACATACATGCATACATTTACATGAGTGGACTTTAGATTTAGTCTTAGGTTGAATCAATTAGTTTCAAACAGAATATTTTATTTCACTGCCAAGGGCTGCAGATCCAAGCCTTGCCACCTATCATACATAGGGGTGGTGTGTGTTCTTTCCATTATGTATCAGGTACTACGATAGACACAGGGGTGAATAAAACACAGACCTGTCCTCCTACAAACCCCATTCTAGAAATGAAAGTTGGCAAAGAATGAATTTATCCTACAAGAATAATTACATATAAGCAAAAGATAAAATTATTCACGTCAGGATAATATGTATTAGCAGAAGAGTGGAAATGGCTACCTGTCCATCAATAGGAAAACAGTTAAATAACTTATGGTACATCTATACAATGAAGTACCGTAAAAACTAAAACCAAAACTATAAAGAAGCTATACATGAAAATGGAAAAAGCTCTGAGATATATGAAGCTAAAAGAGCAAGATGTGCAACAACATGCATAATGTTATCTATTTAAAGAAAAAACAAAATCAGGGGAGGGAGAATAATTATCATTAGCATATGCATAAAGGTACTGGGGAGGATCCTGCAGAAACCAGTTTAATAATGATTATGTCTGGGGATGAGGGTGGAAAGAAGATAAAAAGAGGATGAGGTGGAAGACATTTTATTACATTACTTTTCATGTTTAGTGACTTTTTTTAAAAAATATATCTTTATTGATTTCAGAGAGAGGAAAGGAGAGGGGGAGAGAGAGATAGAAACATCAATGATGAGAGTCATTGATTGAGCCCGCAACCCGGGCATGTGCCCTGAACGGGAATTGAACCCTGATCACCTGGATTCCAGGTCGACGCTCAACCACTGAGCCACGCCCGGTGGGCGATGTTTAGTGACTTTTAAACTGTGTGAATCTATTATCTACTCAAAAAGTTAAATTAAAATGGAAGGAATTTAAAGTGGGTAAGAAAAAAATATGGTATGTGTTAAGTATTAGTGATATATATATGTGTGTGTGCGCACATATATATATTACGGGATCATAAAGAAAGAATTACTTCTGAATGGGAAAGTCTGTAAAGAGAGAAGAATTACTTCCATATGGGGGAGTTGGTCTAGAGTTACTCTGTCCAATATGAAATTTGGACAGGTGGCTAAGTTAAAATTAAATACCTAGTAAATATACCACCTAATATGAAAAGGTTCTACTGATGAGATCATCTCTGTTCTGAGCAGAGATGATTATGGCTGTTATATTTTGATAACATTTGGAGCTTTTATTTGCTCCAGATGTCTTACAAGGTTAGGTTCCTAGTTTTATCTCTGAGGTCCTGCCATCATGACCTGCCACCATGACCACCCTGGCAACCGTATAAGGTGAGTGGTAGTATTCCTGCTTACCAATGAGGAAATTAAGCCTGCAAAATTACTTCCCTTGCCCAATGTACCCCAGGTAGGTAGTGGCGAAGCCAGTGCTGGAAAACAGGTCTGTTTGACCCCAAAGACTTTGCTTTTAATTGCTACACTCTGAGTCCATGAGTAGGTGTCAAAACATGACAGACTTTCCATAAACAAGTGTAAAGTTGTTGGATGTTAAGAACAATTAGCATTTTAAAAGCAATGATTAGAATTGCATGACTTACTTTATATATCTCTTCGTATGTTTCTTCATCAATTTCTATAGTAGTCACAGTTTCTTCCACATCTCCCAATATCATATTTAAATGTTGATCATAAGCCTGAAGTGGGAGGGTGAGGAACCAAGAAACTTAATAGTTAAGAAACAATGAACAGGGCTTACAATATGTAAATGGCTCAATTACAAGTAACACACAATACTTATGCCACAAACTACTACAGACAAATAAAAATCTAGCTGTATAAAATATACTGTTTCTTCACAAATTATTTCCAACAATAACTGAATTGACCTGATAAAAAGTACAAAACTGCCTGGATGGTGTGGCTCAGTGGTTGAGCGTCAACCCATGAAAGAGGACGTCAGGTTCGATTCCTGGTCAGGACACATGCCCAGGTTGTGGACTCTACCCCCAAATAGGGCGCATGCAGGAGGCAGAAAATCAATGACTCTCATCATTGATGTTTCTATCTCTCTCCCTCCCCTTCTCTCTGAAATCAATAAAAACCTATTTTTAAAAACCACAAAACTGTTTAAATGGCCAAAAATCAATTTACTCAAAATAACTTGAAATTAGAGTGTTCACCCTACTTGTTATGCAAGGCACTGACATCATTTACAATAATTATGAAAAACAGCAAATTCATTACTTTTCAGTCGACTTCTTTCAATTCCATCTGTAACAGTGTGACAAAAAGCACATAGTAAAGGAAATAAAATTCTTTGTGTAATTGCTAAGATGATGGCATTACAATCTCCTAAAGGCATAAGAAGCTATCATTCAATCTTCCTGTCCTAAACTAAATACCATAAGGTAATGTAAATAAAGCAACACCCTGCCCATTTATAACCTAGCCAGGATTTAACTGTGTTTGGCACCTGTGGGCTCAATCAATAAATGGTGCAACTCAGATATTCAGGATGTCCTCAATCCAAGCTCCAAAGCTCATGCATTTTACTAAAAGGTGAACCTCCAGGGGCCTTATTCAGAACCCATTTATGCTTACTTTTAACAAAGCATTAAATGGTTCACCAGCTCACATCAAAATAAAAGTAGCCTATGAGCCACATGGGGAACTGCTAGGCAGAGCACACTAACAAGAGCAAAAAATCCATAGATTAAGGCTAGAAAACAAACAAAAGGTTGGAGGCCATTCAGTATAGAGACAATCCAATCTACATAGGGAACTGAAGAAGCTTCCAAGAGTTAAGGGAACATGTCTGTCCCAGGGTGACTCTCCATGTGCCACCCACTGGCCCATGTGATTAAGCTCAATTCCATTTTTCTTGGCAAAGTTGCCACTATTCCATTTCCTGGGTTCTTTCCTTAAGGCTAGCTGTATATTAAGACTACTGTCTCCCTAGGCCCCTACTTCCTTTCCAGGAACAGCAGGTTCTTTACCTTTAGGTTTTATGGGAGGTAGAATCATAGCACTTAAGAGTGAGGCTGAAGTCAAATTGCCTGGGTTCATATTCTTGCCCTCCCTTTCTGGCTGTTACCACCTTATGCAAGTAACTTCAATTTTCTGAGCCTGAGTTTCTTCAACTACAAAACAGGGGTGTTTAGTATCTACCCTCAAAAGGTTGTTATAAAGATTAAATGAGCTATGTATTATATACAAAACACTTAGCACAATTTATGCTCAATAAATTTTAGCTATTTTTAATCACTTTAGGGTAGAATGGCAGTAAAAATAACATGCTCTGAAAAGCAACACATTATCAAGAAGAGGAAAACCTTCAGTTACTCTCTTTATGAATAAATGGGACCACTTCATTTGCAGATACACACAAAGACTTGAACAAAAATGTTTACTGCAGCATTATTTATAGGAGCAAAAAATGGAAAACAATCTAAACATCACTATTACCATATAAAGAATTCCATGTATTCATTAAAACAATAAAGGATTTATATGCACCCATGATCAATGATTTCCAAGAAAAATTAATGAAATAGAAAGATACTATAAAATATGTAGAGCAAGATCCCATTTATTTTTTTAGAGGTAGTATATATAGAGCAAATATATACATTTGGATTGATATATAAATATATACATGAAAAGATCTGAAAGACTATAGACCCAATTTTTTAACAGTGGTTAACAATAGAAGAAATAAGATTTCACCTTTTACTCTATGTATTTCTGTGTTAATTTTTTTCACAAATTTATGTATGTCAGTAATTTATTTAAATAAGAATGGAGAAATATTATTTGCAAATAAACAGAAGGGGGGAAAATGAAAGAAATAAACATGTTCTTTAATAAACACATCATTTCTGTTAAGAGAAAAAATGTTAAAAATATGAATAAAATATAGTTGTATTTGACTTATAGAAATATGGGTGACCTTCCACCTTGTTCTCCTCTACATTCAAAAGGCTGTTCTACAGTGGACAGTTTTTACATTTCAAGGGGTCAGGGTAGGGAGTGATGGAAAGGAAATAATCTGATTTCAAGGTAAATTAATAAATTTACTTACATGTAATCTACCTCGAAGCTCTCTGTCATTTCTCATTTTCACATAAATTCGCTCATCCAGGCTGAGCCTAATAAGATCCAGGGGCTCTTCTACAGTGTTGGTAGTCTGTTGCTGATAAAAGAAACAGGCTTAGTAATATAATTACCAGAGAGAATGTAGAGCTCAAATCAATGCTATGCTGGGTAATGTGGGCAAATAACTTAACTCCTCTATGTCTTAGTCTCATAATTTGTAAAATGTGGATAACAATAGTGCCTACCTAATACCGTTATTGTGAGGTTTACATGACATACATGAAGGGTTAGAACAGTCCCTGGCACAAAGTAAGTGCTATCCAAATGAGGTCTGAAACATCCATACACAGGAAGGAGTTATACAGCAATATAATCACAACTGTACACTGTTTCCTTCAAAATCCAAACTGCCTGACCCAATTTCAGGGTATAAGGAGTCACTCTCAGGGACGTTAGCCTTATCTCAAATATCATTTAGTAATTTGAAAAACATTCACTTAATAACTACTGCACACTAGTCAGGATGCTAAGCAGAGATGAAGCTTTGAGGGAAGATTATAAGTTCAGTACAGGGCAGGCTGACTTTAGGATGCCTAATGGCCAATAAAAATAATACATTCAGCAGGCAGTATAGAATACTGCCTGAAAGCGCTGGCTTTGGAGTCAGGCAGTATGGGTTCAACTCCTGACTCTGACACTTATGAATTGAGACTAAAAATTATGCAATCTCGGCCCTGGCTGGGTGTTCTGCTGGTTGGAGTGTCATCCGGATATGCCAAGGTTGCAGATTCGATCTCCGGTCAGGGCACATACAATAATAAGTGGAACAAATTGATGTTTCTCTCTCTCTCTCAATAAATAAAAATTTGGGGGGAAAATTATGCCATCTCTAATTCTGTTTCCTTGTCTATAAAATGAGGAAGCCACAATCTTCATGATTCTTATGAGGATTAAATTAACTATGTATAGCCCTGGCCAGTGTGGCTCAGTTGGTTGAGAGTCCTCCTGTTCGATTCCCAGTCAGGGCACAAGCCCAGGTTGGGGGTTTAATCCCCAGTTGGGTGCATGCAGAAGGCAGCTGATCAATGTTTTCTTCCTCTCATCAATGTTTTTCTCTCTCCCTCTATCTCTAAAGTTAATAAAAACATATTTTTTAAAAATTTAGCTAATGTATTTAAAATAGTATCTAGCAAACATAAAGTACTTATAAATGCTTGTCACTGTTTTTATTAAAGAACCATTGGAAACAGGTCTCAGAAACCAGGGCCAGGATGACTTGGGGTCATCCATATGGAAGGGATGGTTGAAGCCAGGGGAGTTCATAAAATTGTTCAAGGAGAGCTCCTTCAGTTAGTACATGAGGCCAGCGGAGGAAGGTGACTGAACATTACAGGCTCTGGAGCATAAAAAAGCTAGATGAGGAAAGAAGAAAATCCTGAGCTCAATTGCTCATCATCTCTAGTTCAACAGGTGTTTGTTTAGAACCAGCCACCCAACTAGATTGCAATGATACAGAAGTCAGTCCCTGTCCTCAAGGAACTCATTCTAATTGAGAGGCATATAAATAATTATAATACTATAAGCATATACACATGACAGAGGCCTACTTAGCCTCACTCTGGGATGTCCACTGTCTACCCTTCTCATCCTGTAGCTTTAAATATTGCCTTTTCAAAGAGGCCTCCCTGATCATCCAATTCATTCATTCAATCAATGTGTTGAGTGTTTCCAGCACTGTTCTAAACCCAGAGCACAGAATAGTGAGCAAAACAAAACTCCTGCTCTTAAGAAATTCACACTGGGGGAGGCAGGGGTGGAGACAGACATTAAACAAAGTTTATACTTAATTTGAACAAATAACATGCTATGAAGAAGGAAAAAAAACTGGGGAGAGTGCTCTTTTATGTAGGTGGCCTCTTTGATGAGAGGTGAGACCTCGGTAAAAGTTGAGGCCTGATTCACAAGGATACCTGAGGAAGAGTGTTTTGGGAAGAAGGAAGAGCAGGTGAGAAAGCCTGTAAGATACCACTTCTTCTGCATACCAGCTCCTTGCTTCATACCACATCACAGTTCCTATGTATCACACATATCTATGTTTACTTTCTAACTGTCCTCCCCCACAATACAAGCTCCCAGTGAGGACAGTGACCGTGTATGTCAACGCCGGTGTAACCACACAAAGCTGACGTTCCCGAAGTACTTGTTGAATGAGTACTAATTGTTGAGCTCAGTAACGATAAAAATCCTTAACTTTACTATCACGCTTTCTATCGGAATCCCTACAGTTCTGTGAAGCAGGCAAGGATAATTATTCCCATTCCATAGATAAAAGTGAGACTGAGAGACAGGAAATGAGAGAGCGGAGTAACTAGTTTTCCGGTAGACTTCTGACAAGGGCCTAAGGCAAAATTCAAGCCCGTGACCACCCGGAAAGGCGCGGCAGAATAGGCTATCTTCCTGTTGCCTTGGAAAAAGCAGCTCTGGTACGCAAAGCTGGGCGGGGGGAAGCCGCTCTGGAGCGAGCGCTTTAGAAGACACTTACCTGGTCCACGTCGTCCGCCATGTTTCAAACCGTGCGCCCTTTCCCGCCTCTCGCGATATCCCTCCAGCCTTTCCAGGCTCCGGAAACGCGAGAACAGAATGCACCGGAAGTAGAAACGTGTTTTGCCCCTCCTTGCTTCCCACAGTGCGCGCGGGTCTTTGGGGCGGAGCTTCACCTTGGGGCCTACGGTTGGTGTATAAAAGGCAGGGGCGTGGTCCCGCCTCGTCCCGCCTTGGGGCGTAGCGGAGCTCGTGCGGGTGCCGGCGGTCTGGTGCGTCACTAGCGAAGCCAGACTGGTCTGGGCTAGATGGCTCGGAAGCGGGTGGCTCGCAGGGAGCCTCGGGGACGCAAACCATGTGGCCAGAAAGCCAAGGGCGAGGGTACAGCCCGGCCTGAGGAGAAGGAAGCAGGTGAGAGCGAGGCCACGCTAGGCTTAGAGGGAGATGCTGATGAAGATCCGGAAACAGGCCCGGTTGTGGGGAGCGGGTTGGCCGGCCCCTGGAGGTGGAGGGCGGAGGGCGCTGAGCGGACGACGTTACCGTGAGGCAGGCGGTCGCGCTGCTTGCTTCCCGGGTCCCCCCCGATGTCGCTCCGCCTTTGTCTTCTCTCGAGGAGTGATGCGTTCTGAGCGGTTCCCCTGAAACTCAACCTGACCACGCGTTCCCCTGCGTAGTCTCTTTTTTGCTCCCTGTTTGCTTACAGGATAAAGTCCATCCTCTTGGTAGATCAAAGGGCTGAATAGGCAAAAGGCCTTGCAGTTATTTTGTGTCCCCGAAGACGGTGGTCCAGGACATAGAGTGCGGAGGTGTGCTGACTCCCAGAACAATACCGTCAGCTAAATCTCACCCCAGAGCTCCAGATTTGGATCCAACCTGACTTCACAGTGATATCAAATAGGCTTCTTATGTTTGTCATGGACAAAACAAAACTCTTGGTTTTCTTCTTTCAACTTGTCTCTTCCCCACTTTTTCCCACCTCAATACCTTCACCCACTAGTTACGTCAAACACCTTCTTTTTCTTAAACGCAAACATCCAATCCGTCAGCAAGTCCAATCAGTTCAGCCTCAGAGCTATATCTCAGATCTCTCCACTTCTCTTTATTTCCATGGCCACAGCCCCTGCCCAAGCCATCACTTTTCAGGTGAACGACTGCAGTTGCTGCTCTCCTGGTCTCCCTACTTCCCTTCCTCCTCCTGCAAGAGATCACCCAAGTGATCTTTTTTTAAAAAATCGTCATAATAACATGCTCCTACTTCAAACTCTTTGTGGCTTCCCATTGCTCTTGGCGGAAAATCCAAATTCCTCATCATAGCTTACAAAACCCTACTGCTGTTATTACCTCTCCTGTTGTCTCCTACCCATATTCTTTGACAGATACTCTCCTTAATGGCCTTTCTGTTTCAAACACGCCATGTTATTTCTTACCTAGAACCTTTGTGTTTGATGTTCCTTCTGCCTAGAATGTCCTTCCACGGCTCTTGCCATGGCTGATTCTTCTACTCCTTCAGGTCTCAACTTGGACACTTCTTGAGTACCCTAAAGTGCCCTTCACCAGGTACTCCCTATCACAGAGGCCTTCACAGCCTCAGTCACAATCTCTAATGATCTTGTTAATTTATTTGCTTTCTTTTTTATTACCCATCTCACTAAAATTTAACCTTCAGGAAAGCTTTTTTTTTTTTTTTTTTTTACTGTATCCTCTTGTCTTCCCCCACATATACTAAGTGCTCAATAAATATGTTTAATAATTGCAAAATGCACTCTGTAGAGGGATTCCTGAGAAAAGGGTAATAGATTAGACTACGTAACCATCAGGGGCTCCTATAACACAAGATTCAACAATTTTGCAATTCTGTGTATATTGTTAAGTTCTTCATCTATTAGGAAATAGTCAAATGCTAACAGTTTCTAAACTTAAAAAGGTGATTTACTTCACAATTAATACTATGAGTTCCATTTAATTCATTTACTCATTGAGATAACATTTGAATATTTTCTGAGTATCAGCTGTCTGGTGTACACAAGCTAGGTGACATGGGAGATCGAGATTTCTTGGGGGAGCTTAGAGTATAGCAGTGTTGACATTTACAAAAAATATCCAGGGCAGAGTGCGATATCATGGGAGAAGGTACAGGGCATTGTGGCTTCTGAAGGAGTAATCAAGTTTGACCAAAGATACTGAGAAATGCTCTCTGAAGGAGTTGTTTGATCTGTGACTTTAAAGATAGGTAATATTTCAGCAAAAGGCTATGAGAGCCCTGCCNAGTTTGACCAAAGATACTGAGAAATGCTCTCTGAAGGAGTTGTTTGATCTGTGACTTTAAAGATAGGTAATATTTCAGCAAAAGGCTGTGAGAGCCCTGCCGGGCATAGCTCAGCGGTTGAGCATCGACCTAGGATCCAGGAGATCACGGTTTGATTCCCGGTCAGGGCACATGTCCCGGTTGCGGTTGCAGGCTCTATCCCCTATCAGGGGCGTGCAGGAGGCAGCCAATCAATGACAACTCTCTCATCGTTAATGTTTCTCTCTCTCCCTCCCTCCCTCCCCTTCCTCTCTCTGAAATCAATGAAGATATATATATTTTTTAAAAAGGCTGTGAGAGGGGGTTGGTATTCTAGTCAAAGGGAACATGTTCTGAATATGTGACATTTCCAAAAGTAAAGTTTTAACCTAATGGAAATACCCTGCCTGGGTAACATTTCTTCCAGCTAAATACTTCACCTAGTCTCCATCTTGGTATAGCTCCAGCACTCATTTGTTATATGCACTTGGGTAAATTATTTTGGACAAATAACTTACCTGTTTGAACCTGGTCTGTGAAACAATACTGCCTTGCAGGGTGGTTGTGATTCTTCAGTGAGATAGCATATAAAGTTCCTGGCATGTTTCATGTTAGATAGTCGGTTGGGCTAGCTCATATCAATTTAGTCTAAATGTAGGTAAGGATGCACAGAAGCTTAACTCAAACTCTGTTAGCCAGAGGAGCTAGCTATAAGTTCCCAAAGCATATTTCAGGATCTGAAGAGCTAGAATCTTTGCTCTGGTTGCGTGGAGGAGCAGGTGTGGTTTGGGCTGCAGGTGACACTAATTTGGTGACTGTTGTTTCTAATAATAGTGTAGGTTTTAACAGCAACTTAGTACATGCAGTGAAATTATAGAAATGAACATGACTGGCAAGGTTCTTGCTCACGTGATGCTTATAATCTTTTGGGAGGGATAGGTAGAACAAACAATAAGAAGTTAAAAATAAATTCACATGGTGATAAGAGCTATGAAGAACGTAAAACGGGTTACTCTCATAAAACTGGCATAAGGCTGAGGAAGAAGCAGCTAAGTCAGAACCAGTGGTCAGGGAAGACTTCTGTGAGGATGTGATATTTTGAGACAGTTAGTGAATGTCCTGAAAAAGCTATTCATAAGAAGTTCTGGGGGGAAAGAGATCCAGGCAGAGGGAATGTTTAAAGAGTCTTAGGAGGAAATGAGCTTGGTCAGTTAGCTGGAACCGTGAGTGAGGGGGGTGAGTGGCAGCAATTGAGGTGACAGATGGGCAGAGCCCTTAGTTTGGAGACCAAGCTAAGGGGTTTGTATTTTATTCTAAGCACTATGAGATCCTGCTGGCATCTTTAAGCAGGTGTTCTTACTAAATCTCAATAGATGGCCAAGCAAACCACGGTAATTCCTGTCCTGCTGAAATAACCACATTGAGCTCAAGGGGACTAGTTATCCATATTAGATTGCCCTAGAAGTTCTGGAAAATATCCTCTAGATTCTCTGGGACCAAAAAAAAAAAAGCAGCAAAAAATAAACAAAAAATCATCTGTATTTCTACCATGCAGAAATAACCATCACTAAATAATGGTATATTTCCTTCTAGTCTACTATACTGTGTTACAGTATAGTAGAAACCATACTGTGAAAACAACTTTTCATGCTTAACATTTTATCCTAGATCATTTTCCTTTGTCTTAAAAGATGATTGAATTGTATTTCATTGTGTTACTATACTGGAATTAATGATGATCTCATGGTTGAACATTTGGATTTTAAAACTTTTCTGATATTATGAATAATACTACGAACATTTTTTTATTCAGTTTCAACCCCCCCCCCCTTTAACTCTTTTACCTTTCTCTTCAAAGCACAAAAATATACATTGTGCCTTTTAACCAACCAAATAAATTTGGTGAGAAAGAAACAGTGCCTCTAAAGTATTCTCCCACCTGTATTTTTAGATCATTAAAAATGAAGTATTTTGCATCTTTGCCTATTAATAGAGAGCTAAAGATCTTTGTAAGCTACAGAAGTCCTGATTTTTAAGGGTATCCTATTCAAACTGTCAAGTTATAAACCTTTAAGCATTTTCTGGCCTTGGAATAAAAAATCTGTTTCTAGATTCTAAATAACTAATTTTTAAATATTTTGTGTTTCCATTGGAATGTTTAAACCATTGGAATGCATAAATTCCTATAAAACATTTGAAAGAAACAGAACTGAAGCAGTGATTTTTATCTAGCATTAAAACAGATGCCCTTATAATGTGAAATTTATTCAAATTATGACTTTATTTAGATCAAAAGGGAGCCTTCTTCCCATGCAAAAGTGTATTCTTTGGGGATATAAATACCCCAAGAGAGTCATCAGGACAAACCATAAATGAAAGGAATGAATTCATTTGATATTTTAGGTTAATATTGCAGTTCCTTTTTGAACCTCAGTACAGGCTAGAGTATTTCTGTTTTCTAAAATTTGTTGAAGCAGAGTCAGGCAAAGGCAAAAGAAAATGATTTATTTCAGATTCAAGATTATTTTCATGAATAGATTTACAAAATAAAAACAATTTTCTTCTGTCAAGTTATCTATAAGGTATTTACTCATTAAAAATTAATATATTATATAGCTATATATGAATATATATTTTAGATACCCTAATTTAACTAATAGTTTTAGATACCCTAATTTAACTAAATAGTTTTAGATACCCTAATTTAACTAATAGTTTTAGATACCCTAATTTAACTAAAACAACAGCTTATACATTTTTATTTTTACCTTTAACAAAAAATAATTATTATTTTAAGAAAGCGAAGACAGTTAGTACTGTCTTATTCCACTAAGCTCGCTGATGGTTGATATACCAAGTGCTATTTGGGTTAGCTAGGAAAAGTTTCATAAAGTATGTATTTTGAGCAGAATTTGATTTTGAAAGATGGCAGAAATACATATTAATCGAAATAAGACGGTAAAACTTGGTTGTGTTTATGAACTCAAAACATTTCACTTAATAGGAATGGATTATCCCTAAAATAAATAGTCTTGGCAGGTAGTAAATAAGCAAAGGGTTAGTCAGTGGACTGATGTATTTTTCTTACTGGATATAAGCAGAAATTTAAGATTTAGAAGTTAGATTTTATTTGAGTCATATGGTGGCCTCTCTGTCGTCTCAGGAGGAGTAGAATAAAATGCCAATAAAGGAAAATGGTTTTTACTATGAGCAAAGAGCATAGACTATACTGAAGGTGGGAAGAGGCTGAAAGCTGGTTATTGCCCAAATGTAGCGTGGTAAGCTGGTGATGAGATGTGGATTGGAGGGAGGATACCGAAGAGGAGTTTTCATGACCCTGCCCATGAAACTACTCTGCATCCACCTTTCCTGTTGTCCCTTTCCTGTTGCCGTCTAGATGTCTTTGAAGATGAGAAACCCCCAAAGAAGAGTCTGCTCTCAAAAGTCTCGCAAGGAAAGAGGAAAAGGGGCTGCAATGACCCTGGGGCCTCAGCAGGCGGTCCAGCAAAAAAGAAAGTTGCCAAGGTGACTGTTAAATCTGAAAACCTGAAGGTTAAAACAGATGAAGCCTTCAGTGATGTAGGAGATTTCAGGTGAGAGGTCTTGACTTTTCCTATCAGAGAAGTGTGATTAATAAAACCTGTTCTTTTTGCTTGTTACTAGAATCCATGGAAAAGATTGGATCTTTAAACTCTTCTAAATAGAGCTCAGACTGCTAGTAGGAGCTAGAAAGAATCTTAGCGATTATATACTTTACCTTCCAAACTTCATGTGAGAACAATGACAGCTTGCAGAAAGTGATTTATTTGTGGTTACACAGCTAGATAGTGGCAAAAAACAGGATGAGACCTAGGTCCTCTGATTCCTGGTCCTGTGTTCTTTCTACTACACAAAGATATTACAGTTTAAAAATATTTACCTGCCATGCCAGCTTTCTCTCATACAAGTGTCCTCCTGCACACTCTACTGCTCAGCTGGACATCTTGTCATTCACTTGACGCATGTTCATGCTTTGTTGTCTCTGAGTTGTGCTCATATTCTCCTGCTGCCTAAAAAGTTTTCTTCCACCTTCAAGATGCAGATCAGAAGCCACCTACAGACTTAATATCTTTTCAACTTAGGATGGGTATATTGGGAAGTAACCCTATCTTAAGTTGACGAAGATCTGTGTTACACATTAGCAACAATTTAGTCTTGAACTGGTATGTAGCTAGCTACTTATCTATGTAGTTATCTCCTTAACTAGCTAGGTGTCCAGGTTTGTGTTGCTATTTATGACATACCTGTATATAGTCACATTCCCACTTATCTTGAAGCTATACTTCAACTTCAGTCTCCTTATATCATGTTTCTTAAAGGGGGGTGGAGGGAATCTTCTTAGTTGGCCTGTAGCAGGATCAGCAAATGTGAATTCCTTTTTCTTTCTGGCATCCAACTGTATATACACAGATATCACAGCTTTTACTTCTGAAACTCACATTATTATTGTGTTTCTTCTAGTTTTCCTATCCCATTTCCAGACATAACTGTTTTCCTTCACACAGCTCTAGGCTGTAGGTTTATAGTGATCTTTCTGTTTTGACAGCACATCTAGTATTAAATTGTTGATCAGATCACATCTCTCTTTTTTTTGTTAATCCTCACCTGAGGATGTTTTTTTCTCCATTGGATTTTTTTTTTTTTTTAGAGAGAGAGAGAGAGAGAGAGAGAGTGGGGGGGGAGAAACACTGATGTGAGAAAGACACATCAATTGGTTCCCTCCCACATGCTTCCCAACCAGGGCTGGGGATCAAACCTGCTACTCTTCGGTGCATAGGCCGATGCTCTAAGCACTGAGCCACACCGTCCAGGGCAATTAGAGCACATCTTGATGAGAACTTGAAACTCATGCTGATGGAGGAAATGAGACTCAGAGTTCACAATTGATCTTTAAATAATTGCAACAGATTTTCAATAAATAGGAGTCCTTAAAATTCCATTTAGTTTAAATGTAATACTGGGATGTTTGCACCTTCTTCATCTTCCTTCCTGTGGTGTTTACATAGAAACCTTACACGTGCCTGCAAGAATGCACACCATCCAAAGAGGGAGTCTCCTGTGGACGAAGACAGGCACGAAGGAGATGACGAGGAAGAAAGCGAAGATGAGTGGGAAGAGGTAGAAGGTACGGCATCTTTCTTTGTTTTCAGAACTGTCTAATCCTGTTTTTCTGTTTGATTCCATTTAGAGTTATGCCACTGATTGTAATCCTATTGTTTTCTTTTGAAACTAATAAGACTAAAGATAAGATTGCAGTAGGAACTTGCTTTTGATATGAAAAACTCAACACTGGATTACTAGAGCAGGTTGTATAGTCTCTTTCTTTGCTGGCTGTCACTGGAGTAGATTATGAAATAGAGAGGTATTGTCACTCATAGGAAGAGCAGAGGCTTTGCAAGAATACAGTAAAAAAACACCGGTTCAGACAGGTGGAGTTACTTGCTCACAAAGCTATATAAGTGACAAACCTGGGGTGAGAGCCAGCTTTGCCACTAATATAGCTGTGTGAGCAAGTAACACCACCTATCTGAACCAGTGTTTTTTTATTGTTAATTTTCAGTAAACACTGTATGATTACTATGAGCAGTGCACAGTCTAGGCTCTGGGGTTCTTGTGGGGGAGGGTTGCAGGTGTATTGGGCCTAGTGTATCATATACTAAAAATAAATACCAGCTAATGTTATCATCCCTGAATCCTCCTGCCTAGCATGACTTTTTCCCAGCTATCTATTTTGAAAATGTTCAGACCTACAAGAAAGTTGAAAATGAGTACATATACTCTTTTTTTTTTTAAATCCTCACCTGAGGCCATGCTTTTTTTTTTTTTTTTTTAAGTTCTCACCTGAGGATATTTTTTCCATTGATTTTTTTTTTTTTTTTTAGAGAGAGTGGAAAGGAGGGGGAGAGAAAGAGAGAACTGTTGATGTCGATTNACATTGATGTGAAAGAGACACATCAATTGGTTGCCTCCCACACATGCCCAGACCAGGACCAGGGATCAAGCCTGCAACGGAGGTATGTGCCCTTTTCCAGAATTGAACCTACAACCCTTCAGTCCTCAGGTGGACATTCTAACCACTGAGCCAAACTGGCTAGGCAGGACATGCTTTTATTGATTTTAGAGAGAGGAAGGGAGAGAAAGAGAAAAACATCCATGTGAGAGTGAAACGTCAATCAGTTGCCTCCCTCATGGGCCCCTCCCAGGGATCAAACCCACAACCTGGGTGTGTGCCCTGACTGGGAAGTGAACCTGTGACCTTTCGGTGTAGTACATATACTCTTCATCTAGATCATTAACTTTAACATTTTGCTATACTGAATATATCTTTCAGTAAATATGCATTGTGGAAGCATTTGAAAGTGAGTAACTGACATTCTGACACTTCTAAATACTGCACCCTGCATTTCCAAAGAATAAGACATTCACCTACATTATAAAATACCATTATCACACCTAATAAAATGAAAAATAAATCCCCAATTATTATAAAAATATCCTTTATAGCTGTTCCCCCCCTTTTATTCTAATCCAGGATCTATACAAGGTGTAAGCCTTATGTTGGTTGTCTCTATAACAGTAACCCCCCACCTACCTTTTGTTTTGTTTTTCATAGCACTGCCTTTTTTAAAGAGTCCTGGCATCTTGTTTTGTAGAATGTCTCAGGTTCTGGTTGTGTATGATAAATAATCAGTCATCTCATGGTGGTGGTACAGTTTTTTCAGTATCCCATGTATTTCTTATAAATTGTAAATTAAATTCAAAGACTTGATTGAAGTTAGATTAAACTTTTTTTTTTTTTTTTTTTGCGAGAATACTTTATAGGTGATGCTTTTTACTTCATATCACATCCATTAACAGACACTTAATGTCAGGTTGTTCTACTAGTGATAATAAGCTTGATTCTGTAAGGTGGTATTGCCAGATTGTGCCAATATAAAGGTACATTTTCCCTTTGTAATTAACCGTCTCCAGTTGTACTCTGATTCTTGTTCCCCAGTAATTTTTTACTTAATGGTTTTAGCATGCATTAATGATCTTGACTGGATCAAAATTTATTATATTGAGGATGAAAAAATGGTAATAAATCTGATTCTGTCATTTTATATACATTTATTAACTGACTGATCTGTAAAGGAATTGTATTTATTTAGCAAGTGCCTAATTTTACCACCCTTTCAGGAATTGTATTTATTTATTCTGAGTATCACAATGGACTTAGAGGTTTTTATTTTCTAATTACACATATTTCCAGTTATCATCATTACACTTTTTGAGCTTCAGATTGTTCCAAATTTGGCTAATGGAAGCCCCTTTAAGCTAGTTACCCTCCCGTGTCTTTTTGATATGACCTCATTTAGTTTTTTAGAACATTTATGTTTCTGGCACAACAAGATGTTCCAGGCTCACTTTATACTTTCCTTGCTCCAGACCTGGAATCAACATTTTTTCTCCAAGAAGCCCTGATTCATTTCAGCGAGGACTGTTATGTAGAAACCAAAATCTTGGCATTAGGTGTGTTCATTGCTAAACGGACATTATTCCTTCTAGGCCCAAACCTTCTTTAAAAGAGCCCTTTGCTAATGAAGTTCACAGTTAGATCCAGTTCAACAAATTCAGTTTATTTCAGCTAGTGTTTACAAGCAGTGTAAGGGATAAAGAGATGAAGAAGATGCATTTCTTGTCATAACAAGTTTACAGCTAAGACTGAAAGACACCTAAATCATCACTTCATACAAAGCAAATTGTGCTAAGTGTTATGTAGTAATAAAAAGATAGAAAATTATTCTCATTTTGGCTTTAAAAAAAAAAGAAATATCTACTAAAACACACAAGCATCAGCTCCTTGATAGCAAGGGTCTGTATCTAATTCAAATCAATATCTTTAAGCTTAGTTTCCTTCTTTTCTACTACCAGGACTACTACTATGGGTTTCTGTGTGGGTTAAATGATACAAATAAATATAAAACATTTAGCGCAGTGCTTGGCAATTTTTTTGGTTTTTTGGGGTTTTTTTTTAGGTATTCAGAGCATGGAAGGGGGAGTGTTTATCTCTGCAAATTGTCCACCTCACATCCATTCCTCACTTCCTGCTTCCCAGCAGAATCTTGATTTTGTTCTGTACAGTAGTTATTATAATTACTATTATTGATTTTTTAAAATTACTGTTGACAGAACTTAGTGAGCCTGTGCCAGGTGATGTGGGAGAAAATGCAGCCTTCTCTCAATCTGTTCTGCCTCTGAAGCCAGTGGAGATAGAGATTGAAACACCGGAGCAGGCAAAAGCAAGAGAAAGAAGGTAAGATTAAGCACTTGCTTCTAGATTCCTGTCACATATAATTGGCAACAGCTCCTACTTAATAAAAACTTCTGAGAAACACATAGGAGGCCAGGGCTGAGTATTAAAGTGTTCAGGAACCTTGGGTGAGAGAACCCTGGGCTCACCTTTAGGACTTGAATGAGAAACCTTTGTGTCCTGGCTGGAACAGGAGATGGAGAGAGAAAACTCCTATGTATTGAGCAACTTCTGTGTGCCAAGGTTGTCCATTATCTTACTTAATTTTAGGACAGTATGTGAATCAGCAGCCAGAGGCTCAGAGAGGTTAATTATAATTTCAGGAGTCACTCAGCCACTAAGTGGATGAGGCAAGATCTAAATCCCTGTCAGGCTGACTTATAAGTCATGCTTTCCCCACCACATCACTCTGCAGGACTTGAAGCAGTGCCCCACCATGGTAGAGAACCCCCCTCATTTCATCCCAATATTCCCACTCCCTTTGTAGCTTCTGGGCTTGGGAATATTGAGCACAACCCCTGGTAATTTGTTGGTTAATGGATTCCACTGTATGATGGGCACATTATTAGCCATGCTGAAGGAAGATAATAAAAGTCATTCAAGAAGCATTGAGTTTTCTTAAAGATGCATGGAACACAGACATGAAAGAGATTTTACATCAGAACAGTGTAATACAAATGAGTGTACGTTAATTGAATATAAATGCAGTAGTTGGAAGGTCAGGGAGTCAGAGACGACTTCCTGGAGGAGGTGAGCTTTGATCGATGTTCATGAGGCATGATTTGGTGCAGGTTAAAACAAAGTCAGCCTGGGTAGAGAATGTCCTGAGCTAAGATTTGTAGGTGAGAATGAACAGAAAATAGGTAGCTTTTTAAAAATTTACTTGAATAGCACAGCCTTGTGCAAGAAAACAAGGAAAGTGATTTGTATGCCATTATAAGGAAAAGAAATTGGTTGGGGGGAATGGAGTCAGGTTTCAATTTCCCAGAATGACTCAGTTTTTTTAATACACATTGCAGTGAAAAAGTACAAATGGAGTTTGAGACAGCTCTTCGGAGGCTGATGAAGCGTTTCAATAAAGAAGTCCATGAGGATACACACAAGGTAAGGGCAGGGAATAAAGGGAAAGGACAGTATTCCTGTTTGTCAGGGCAGAGTGCTGTGGCGAAAAGAACTTGAGGTCTCAGTCTATGAAACCTAGGTCTCATTTCTGGCTCTCCTACTCACTATGTGATCTTGGCAAGTTTCTTATTCTCTCTGAGGTTGTTTCCTCATGTTTGAAGTAAGAGTTAATAATAGTGTCTTCCTCAGAGGGTATTTATGAGGATTACGCATACTTTACATGTAAAGTACAGAGCATAATGCCTGGCATGGAGCAGGGGCTAAAGGACAGATACCCTCCATCTCTTCTTTCCACTGTTTAGTAACATTACTTCTGATTTCAGCTAAAGTTGCTGGCTTTTGACTTCAGCTGGTAGCTCTTGAACATGTGTTATGAACCTAGCAAGGTTCTTGGCATTGTGGGAAAGATACTTGTATAAAGCTTATTTCCTACTATTAAGGGGTTTCTGATGTCACAGATGGAACAAGAAAGACCTCAAAACAGTGAAGCATAAGACTTAGAAGAAAGAAGGAGATCAGTGTGGTTTGAGTAGCTGAGGAAGGCTTTATTTAGGAGAAAGGACTGGAGTTGGGTCTTGGAGAAAGGATAGCATGTTAAGATGGGAGAGGACAGAGTCTGGGCAGACTGTTCTCCGAGTTACGGAGGGAATGGTGGGACAACCAGTTTACCCCCATATACTCTTGGAGTATATGTGTGTTGGAAACCAAACGAGAGTGAGGGACAGGAGGATTTTGATTTTTCCTCTGATCCACAGTGAGCAGCCAGAGAAGGTAGTAATGGGATGGATGGAAGAGACACTGCCATGGATGGAACAGCTACAGAAATTTAGGGGTAAAATGTGCACACAGCAAAGACAGTGAGGAGATGAGACAGGAACTGGAGTGAGGCCCACCTCACAGCAGCCATGGGGGGGAGTACATGAGATAGCTCTGTTTCTTTTACCTCTTAGTGTTAGAGATGAATGAAAGACACCAAGATTTGAAGCTTAAGTGAGGGGGAAAGGGCAGTGCCACTGATTGAAATAGGCTATAAGTGTAAAGGAAGGAAAACCGATTTTGAAGTGAAAATGATACAAAGCTGTGTGTGAGAGAAGGGGAAGATAGTCACATGATCATTTCAGTAGGTTGAGGAAAGGTGGGTTTGGGAAGATAGTCACATGATCATTTCAGTAGGTTAAGGAAGGGTGGGTTTGGGAAGATAGTCACATGACCATTTCAGTAGGTTGAGGAAGGGTGGGTTTGGGAAGATAGTCACATGACCATTTCAAGTAGGTTGAGGAAGGATGGGGCTGGAGGTCAGATGTGGGACAGGTATGGGGTCTGAAGTGGAGGAGGTTGGATTCATGCACACATAGCAATGCAGTGAGCTCTGTGCTATCCTCCAGCTTTGACAGTTACTGGCCCATGAGCAGTCTTGCGATTCTTTCCTCCCACTCATTTTTCCTCTTGACCCTCCTGAGCAAACCCCAGACATTGTAGCATTTCATCCATAGTTCCTTCAGTATATAAAAGACAAGGATGCTTAGAAGAAAATAAGTTGTGTTTTGAAGCTTCAAGATTAGTATTTTTACTTTTTTGTATTTAGAAATGACAGCATGCCCTGGCTTGTGTGGCTCAGTTGATTGTTTTCCCGTGCACCAAAAGGTCACCGGTTTGATTACCTGTCAAGGCACATGCCCAGGTTGCGGGTTCGATCGCTGGTCGGGGTGCATTTGGGAGGCAGCCAATCGTTTCTCTCTAGCAACAATGTTTCTCTCTCTCTCCCTCTCCCCCTCCCTCTCTCTCTCCCCCCTTCCCTCCCTCCCTCTCCTCTTTTCCCTTCCTCTGTCTCTGAAGTCAATAAAAAAAAAATTTTTTTTTAAAGAAATGGCAACAAATATTTCCTGCCCACAAAATGTCTTTTAATTTGATAGCAAAAATCCCTCTAGTGTTTAGCTTTCTTTCCATGTCTTCCTTTTTCTCTTTCTTTCCAGGTTCACCTTCTGTGCCTGTTAGCAAATGGCTTCTATCGAAATAGCATCTGCAACCAGCCTGATCTTCAGGCTATTAGCCTCTCCATCATCCCAACTCGCTTTACCAAAGTGCCTCCTCAAGATGTGGATATCTGCTACCTGTCAAACCTGATGAAATGGTATGGCCCTCTCGCCTGTGTTGTACCGCCTTAGTGTAGGATTTGTGTCTCTCTTAGAGGTTGGGTGCGGGTCACTTCCACAGATATCCCCTGAGGTGATCTTGTATGCCACACAGTGGGTACAGCATTGAAGATAGAAATATCAGGCATGATCTCTATCCTGGAAGAGCTCCCAGGTTGGTCGGGGTGACAAATACACCCCCAGGTAATTAGAATAGTGTAACCATTGCTCTGGAAGCGGTGTGCTGGGCACTGCGGGCACAGAGAATCAGGGCACTTACCTCAGGTGGGGAGTCTGGGAAGGCTGCTGAGAGAGGTAAAGTCTGAAGTGGGTCTTCAGTGATGAGTAGGAATTAGCCAAACAGGGTAGGAAGAGTAGAACAAAGGCAGGTGGACACAATTTCCTTCCCAGACTCCCCCTTCTGATTTTCTTGGCTATAAAGGAACAGAGGTCCTCTTTGCTCTGACCTTTCACACCAAGGAATACCTGGCTTTTCTGCAGGTTCATTGGAACATTTACAGTTAACTCTGAGCTTTCAATCAGTGAGCGAGATGGCTTACAGACTACGTTGGAAAGGAGATTTGCGATTTACTCTGCACGAGATGATGAAGAATTGGTCCATGTAAGTGATTCTTCCTGGCAGTACTATTTTTATTAGTACTGTTAGCAAATGATGATAGCAGTCATATGCCAAATACTATTCCAGGTGTTTTACATATATTTCCTTATGCAGTCTTCATAAAATAAATAATAGATACTGAAGCTCAAAGAGGCTAAGTAACTTTCTTAGGGTCACTCGGTTGGCATACATTGGAATCAGGGTTGGGATCAGTGTGTGAGTTGAAGGCCTTTCTATTATTTGGTGTCCTATTATTTGGTGTCTTTCTATTATTTGGTGTCCTAGTGTGTTAAAGCACTGAATTTTTGGTCAAGTGCTCTAGAATTGTTTCCATTAACTATTCAGAAATTGTGTTCAGAAGTTCCAAGGAAATGTTGTTTCAAATTGGCTGCTAAAATCCTTAAGAAAGTGTTTCCATGCCTTCCTATTTGGGTGATGGCATCGGCAGGCAGCCATGCAGTGAGGAGAGTTATGTCTACCAAAAGGAGTCCTGGTGAAGAGCTCTTATGTGTAGAGAGGCTTTATCAAACACTTGAAAATGCCCTTAGGTAAGGCTCTGTCTGAATAAAACAAAAATAGAGATAGATACATGGTTTTATCCTTGTATCCTTGGAAGATTCCTGTGAATACACAGACTTGTGCCTGAGCCTCAGATTCCCTGTTTGTTCAGAGAAAGAGACCAGACTTTTTGTATCTTTCGAAGCTAAGTTTCAGTTTCTTGTTAAAGGTATATTCAGATTTTCTATTTTTCCTTGAGTCAGTTTTGGCAATTTCTCTATTTTTAGGATTTGTCCATTTCTTCTGGTTATCTAATTTTTAATATAGGAATTTGTACGGCTTTGTAACTTAATTTTTTTCCATTGTTAACATGTATTGACAGATTATTTATTAAAGGTACTGACCATGTATATTTGTGTAGCACTGGATTGCTTGCAGAGTACTGTCACATATGTGATCTTATTTATAATCCTGTGAGGAAGACAAGGCAGGGATTACTATAGATGAAGAAATCTAGGTTTAGAGAAGTCATTCAGCTAGTTGAATACTCCAATGAGTACTCAGTTACCCAGACACTTACATCTGTGTTCCTGTGCCGTGCTGTGCACTAAGAAACTAAGGAATTACTATTGGCACAGTGATAAATATACCAATTAATAATGTGTTGTCAACTAAACTATCAATATTATTTGGACTTTTCAAGGTTTTCCACTAATGCCTTTTCTATTCCAGGATCCAACCCAAGAGACTATGTGGCATTTAGTCATCATATGTCCTTAGTCTGTTCCAGTTTGTCACAGTTTCTCAGTCTTCCCTCATCTTTCATTACCTTGATGTTTTTGAAGAGTATTGCTTAGGAGTTTTGTAGCATGTCCTTCAATTTGGGTTTCTTTGATGTTTCCCCCATTTTTAACTCCAGGTGAAACAAGGCAAAAATAATTATTTTTTTCAATATAACATGGCTTTTCACAGAAAACCTGCCTTCCTGTTTCTCATTTTCACCTCTGGCTTTCTCACTAGGGTATTACAGTAATTCATGAGGAACCTAAGATCTGTGTAGGAAGATCTTGCTCTCAGGAGCTTTATCACTGGTGCTGTTTTGGAGATTAATTTCCTGGAGTCACTTCCCATCCTTACAAGTTAACAGAATGTTTAGAACTGCAGCTTCTAGTTGAAAGATTCATTGTGGGGAAAATGGAATACAGGGCATAGACTTTGGTCATCTGATGATAATGGTGTTTTCTATATTTTTTTCTCAAAGTAATATGTCATTTTATTATTTTATTTTAATCACAAACATATAACACATTGACTACAGAAAGGTAAACTAAAAAAAACACAACCGTATGTAAACAGCTATAATCCAATATATGGGTCCTTTTCTAAATATACATTTTGGAAATCTTTATATTTGTATACAATTTTTTCTTACAAAAATTAACATTATATATTTTAAAACAAACTTCTCTTTTTCTTTAATATGTGGTGAACATTTTCCCATTTTTCTACAAAGATAGAGCTCTGCAGCATCGTTTTTAAGTGTCGAGGGTTCCAGACTCCTATGGTTAGACAGCTTGGTTATTTCTAACTTTTCTTTGTTACAAATAAGTACCACCACAACAGCATTTAATTAATCCCTTAATTCTTTTATTAGGATAAATGTGTTATCCTTTTTCATTATAGATATTTTTACTGATTCTCCGGGCCCTGCAGCTCCCAACCCGACTGGTATTGTCTCTACAGCCAATTCCTCTGAAGTTATCAGCAGCCAAGGTGAGGTTCTTAGGGCTTCCAGAGAGAAGGGTAGTTGGTCAGGAAGAAGTGGGAAATTATCAGACTTTTAAAAAATTGGTCATTAGACTGTTTTTAAGGATCGGTATTCATAGAGCATGGGTTCCTTTGAGCCTGCCTTGCACATATATAACCTGTGCTGGCAAGATTGGACACACAACTGGGTTATCTAGCAACCTGATCTTTGTGTGTGCAAAAGGCCTTTGAGAGGTCTTGGCTCCTTGGTGCTTTAGTTTCTGTTCTATAAAACAGTACAGTGGTACCTGTCCTCATCAGTAGTGTAGAGTGATAATGGGTGAAGGACTCTCAATTCTGCAGTCATCTAAGAAAGAGGCTGAACACTATACTCACTGGGGTGTTGGCATTGTCTGATACGTGACGGTCCAGAAATTGATTTTACTAATTTCTGTATTCTTTTTTTTGAAGAATTTTAGTGAGTTTATTTAGCCAAACTGTCAACAATTGCTGGGAAGCAGAATCTCAACAGATTGAGATAATGCTCCCAATTTCTATATTCTTTTTTTTCTTCCTCTAAATATCTTTATTGATTTCAGAGAGAGAGAGGGAGAGGGAGAGAGAGATAGAAACATCAATGATGAGAGAAAATCATTGATTGACTGCATCCTGCACTTTCCCCCACTGGGGGTCGAGCCCACAACCCGGGCATGTGGCCTGACAGGGAATCAAACCGCTATCTCCTACATCATAGGTTGATGCTCAACTGCTGAGCCACACTGGTGGGGCAATTGCTATATTCTTAATACCTTAATTTCGTTAAGTCTATTAGTATTTGTTTTCAAAATGCATAATGCGCAAGGTGAGTATTATTGTTGCCGAGGAAACTGAGGCTGGGAGGTTACATAGTTTACCTAACTCACATAACATGAGAAACAGCTTTGAACCCAGGTTTGTCTGTTTCTACATCCTGTGCTCTTTTCCTTGTGTTACACTTCAGAGTGAAGAGAATTACATTGTGACCTTATCTAAGATGCTGTAGATTTTAGCTAATACTTCCCAACTATCCAAAAGGATAGCCAGTGATCACTGTCTGAGCTGGGGACATCTTGTGTATGCTGGTTCTCTAGCCAGTGGTGTCGCCCTGTTAGATTACAGGGTCTCTATCCTATCAGCAAAATAGAAAAAGCAAAATTTCTATTCTATTTAAGGGAAAGAAACCTAAAGAGAAATCCACAGATGGTCCTGCAGGCTCCTCAGAAACTTCCAGCCAAGCGTCAGAAAACCAAACCAAACCAAAGACCAGCAGAGGAACCAGAAAAGAGAGCACTTCTTCCAAGGGCCCCAGCAGCCCAGGTGCCGCAGAGAGGAAGAGCAAGCCAGCTGCTCTCGGGAAGAAACACAGAGAGCCCCCCTCCGGTGGGGAGGAACAGCGGGAGGGGACCCCGAGACGGTTGTGTGGCCGGCGGCGACGGGTGGCCTCCAGGGTGTGTTACAAAGAGGAGAGTGGGAGTGACAAGGCCAACAGTGGCTCTGACTTTGAGTTCTCCAGTGGGGAAGCCCAACATTCGTCTGATGAGGATTCTGAGCCTGGCCCTCGGAGGCAGAGGAGGGCCCTGGCCCCTCAGAGGACAAAAGCAGGGTCCAAAAGTGGCTCTAAGACCCAATGTGGAAGCTACACTAAGCACCCTGGCTCTCCAGCAGCATCCACAAGCTCTTCAAGCAGTAAGAGTAAGAGAGGCAAGAAAATGTCCAGTGATGGTGAGGGGACAGAAAGAGGGAAAGCAGCTGGCACGGACCAGTGGCTAGAGGTGTTCTGTGAACGGGAGGAAAAATGGGTGTGCGTGGACTGTGTGCATGGTGTGGTGGACCAGGCTCTGACATGTTACAGATATGCCACCAAGCCCATGACCTACGTTGTGGGCATTGACAATGATGGCTGGGTCCGGGATGTCACCCAGAGGTATGACCCAGCCTGGATGACAGCGACCCGCAAGTGCCGGGTTGATGCCAAGTGGTGGGCTGAAACCCTGAGACCCTACCAGAGTCCACTGGTGGAAAGGGAGAAGAAAGAAGACTTGGAGGTAAGGCCTCAGCTGCCATGGGCTCAAAGACCTAGTTGAGCTATTAAAATTATTTCCATATTTGAGCACTTTATGTGTCCCCAGCCCTGAGTTGGGTATTTTTTGTGTTTATCATTAGTTGTCACAACACTATAAAGCTGGGATGATTATTGCCTTAATTTTACCAGTTAAGAATTTAGGATCCAAGAGATTAACTGACTTGGTATTTGAACCCAGGTCTATTTGGCTTTGAAGCCTATATACTTCTAGTTATTGCCCAGTTATAAATTTTGGAGCTTTAAAATAATTTTTGCAAGTCATATGTCATGCTGAGTAAAAGAAGGAAAAGCTCATTAATATGATTGCCCTCCATCCTCCCAGTTGTATACACTCACACCAGCACATACACAAACTACCCTCCACAGATCTAGAACACTCACCTCCTGGGAACAAATTAACTCAAGATGAGGAAATACCTTCAGTCTATTGAGAAGGCACACTAGGAAGTTGACTTCTAAAGTTAAAGAGACCATAGCATATCACTTGGTTTTAGGAGGAGAGCCTGAGCTGCTTGTGCACAGCAGTTGTGTTGGATAGAGCTCAGCAGGAACATGCCCAGATTTGCCAAAGAATTATTCCCAATTCCTAAGATGGGTGAAGCATGGGTTTATTTAGCATTCTCTGTTTCAGTGCAGTTCATCCTGCACTGAGAGTTTCCTCTGGGGTATTCCTCATTCGTTTTACTGAAAACTGCAGAGGAGATGGGAACTGTGTAGATGGTATTGTGACTAGCCTACGCAAGTATGTACTGGAAGCTAACCATGTGGAGGGTCTCTCCTACTGGCAACACTACATTGCCCGTCCTCACTATATATTGAGAGGTTTTCAAGAACAACTAAGGGATAGCTTAGGAAACCTTGGTGAATAGGATGTGAATTACAGCAGTGGAATTGTCCACTGAGAAATCAGATTCCTTAAAGAAGTGCTAAAAGAACATGTATGTATTATGGTAGACTAAAAATAAAGTCTCAGGGTGTGAACAACTCATTCTGGTTTCCTGTGAGCAGTTAAGGAGACCCACGTTGCGAAATAGTGACTTCATGTTGAGATAAGACCTCTTTCCTGAAGAAAGCTTTCTGTTCCTTGAAGCTCCTGAATAGAGTGGGCACCCATCTGCTACGACTGGCTGAGGAATAGGTTAGATGACTTTGCAAAGTTGCCACGAGCCACAGAATTACTTGATTCTTCATAGCTTTTGATTTATCTGAAACCTACTTAACACCAGAGCTACGAAGACAATGTTATAGTCATTGGTGCCCATGAACCCTCTGCTCCATTGTTTGTTATTTAAACAAGTCGGTCTGAGGATTGTCCACATCAAACCTCACTTCCCCTTCTAAACCACATGCTCAACATTGTCTCTCTGACCTTTGCAGTTTCAGGCAAAGCACCTGGACCAGCCTTTGCCCACTGTCATTGGCACATACAAGAACCACCCTCTGTACGCCCTGAAGAGGCATCTCCTGAAATACGAGGCCATCTATCCTGAGACAGCCACGATCATTGGGTATTGTCGCGGAGAAGCTGTCTACTCCAGGTATGTGAGGCTACCTGGTGGCCTGGGATTATCAACCTTCTTCTGGGACAAGGGGCTGGTAATGTCATTTCTCTCAGTTGTCAAACAGGATGAGCTTTATAAGTGTAAGTGTGCTCTTGTGTTGGGGGGATGTGTAGAAGAGATTAAAGCTTGGAAATTAAAACAATAAGGAATAAAAGATAAACAGGAGGGGAAAAGTTATAGGGGAACAATAAAAAGTAGAACAAGGAAGGTTTGTTTAGGGCAGTATAAACACACCCCTCAAATATAAGTTAAAGACATACAAAAAGAAAAAGGATTTGGTAATGAAAGTTAGTGATTGGATATTTTAATGGGTACAGTTTCAATTTGGAAGATGAAAAAGTTCTGGAGATGGATAGTGGTGATGGTATTGCACAACCTTGTGAATGTACTTAATGCTACTGAACTGCACACTTAAAAATGATCATGATGATAAATTTTACGTTGTATGTATTTTACCCACAGTAAAAAGAAATTACCAAAGAAGGAGTGAAGTGAATAAGAGTAGAAAATAAATAAAATATATACAAAATTAAAGCTGAAAAAATTTTAGTAATATAAATTTAAAGTGAAGAAAAAATAAAAGCAGAACTTCTAAGAAATAGCAGTAGAAAGAAAACAAAAGATGTGATTTTTTTTTTTTTTAACATTGAAATACAAGACCAAAAAATAGAGGATATTCTTAAGAAATGGGAAAAGAGGGAAAAAGGAAATTTAGAGACTCACAAGTAGATGGTTTGAGTCCTCTGACTGAGGACTGCTTCCTTCATGTCAGTCCTGCAGGGAGTCACCTGGACCCTCTGTTCAGGGTCTCTGTTGGAAAGAATTGCAAGGCTGGGGTATAGCTCTTAGCTCTGGAAGGAGAGTGAAGATAGAGGATCTCTCCCCATAATCAGGAATTATTTGACCGTTCCTTGCTCATGAGTCTCAATTCCATGGTAATTTATTAACATAGTTATAATTTCCACGTAGTCTTTTTTTTGGTGAGGAAATGTGCCTTCGTTGCTGTGACTTTTCCTGTCCCCCTACAGGCTGCAAAGGGACTCTCATTGTGGGAGGAGAGGTGAGGGTACTGCATGAAGCCTAAGACAGATGCAGTAACTCTGTTTAGCTTAGGTTTTGTAAGTGGAACTCATACACCCACCAAGACAGGATGCCCAAGTTCACTGTTCGCCTGAGGCATGTCCCCTGGTTCCCTCAGGAGCAGAGCCTGAGAAGAGTATCACAGGCTGCGCTCTTCCTTCCGGAAGGTCATATGAGCACCTGGGTCCTCAGGGTTCCTCTCCATAATGTACTTCATCAGACAGGTTGTGAACTAACTGAGTTTTTCCTTTGTCTCCCCCTTTGGCTCTGGTAGGGATTGCGTGCATACCTTGCACTCCAGGGACACATGGCTGAAACAAGGAAGAGTGGTGAGGCTTGGAGAAGTGCCCTACAAGGTAACCAGCGCTGGGTGGGCGCCCTGAGAGCTGCAAGGAGGCTCAGGGACAAGGCCGAGTGGAACAGCTGAGGGCAGAGGAGTGGGGACTAAGTGCTGCCAAATACATGTCCAGGATAGGAGCCCAGGTCTGACTTTTCTACCTTGAGAAGGATTAGAGAAGGAGAAAGCATTTAAATGCTGTCTAACTTTAATGAGGACTGAGGACTTTGTAGGAGATGGATCTTCCAGAGCCTGCAAGAAATCTAAGGCAAAAAGCAGCCCTCAAACTCCTGGTGTGTGCTCAAAGGCTGTGTAGATTGGAACTGTGTTACTGAGTTGTCCTAAGAGGACAAAGCCCTGCTTTATGTAGACGCATTCACCAGTTATCAGTGTCCTTCCACTTGGTAACTTACCATGTATTTTGCATGTATGTATTCTCTACTGAGTCTCAACAACCATAGGAGTTAGCATTATGATGCCCATTTTATATATGAGAAAACGGAAACTTGAGAAATTACTTGTCCAAGGCCTTACAGTTAGGAAAATGGCAGTGCCCAGACAGCAATCCCAGGCCCTGTCTCTATTAGATTGTGTTATCTCTTTCCCATTGTGTTGTTGCACTAAGCCAGGTCAGCTCCCCACAAGAAATACGGATTCAGTACAGTACCACAAAGGCTTGTCACAGGACACATAGCCCTGTTCAACCAGGCGAGGACAGTGGCCGGTCATAGACACATTTGTTCTTTTTTATCAGATCCCTAGAGGAGCCCTTTGGGTTGTGAGACTCTGGGGAGCTCGGCAGGGAGTGGAGAGGCCTCAGTTTGGTGGGAAGGGGCTGCAAGGGTTAGGAGTGGGTCACTGCCAAAAGCAGGCTTGAGTGCATTATGCTCCCTGCTTGGACCTGGAGCACCCTCACCTTTCTTTTATGCTCCTTATCAAATAACCAGTCTCTTCGTTCTGGTATGGCACTGTCTGACTGATATGTAAGGTGAGCCACAAATTTAAATTTTTTAGTAGCCACATTAAAAACTTAAGAAACAGGTAGAATTTTAACATACTTAAATATTTTCAAATGTATTTGAAATAATTGTCATCTCAACATGTAATATTTTAGAATGTTAACGAGATATTTTACATTTTTTTCTTACTAAGGCTTTTAAATTTAGTGTTTTACTTTCAGTATATCTCAGTTGCCACTAGCCACATTTCAAATGTCCAATGGCTATCATATTAGCACAGTTCTAGCATAATCCCAAATCTCAAGTCCTCCTTTTGTTCTGAAACCGACTGTCCCAGCTCTAACTCTTCTCTTGCTTGGATCACAGCCACCTTCAGCCCTTCAGTTCACTTTCAATATCGCTGTCATGAGATCTGAAACACAGAGTTGCATGTGACACCTCCTGGATAGCCCACCCTCACCCCACCTAGAGTTGCATGTCTTTCATGTGGCACGAAACCTGTGGTACTCTGGTGCCTGCCTCTTCTCCAGCCACATTTCCTCCTACGTAGCAGATGACTTCCACAGTCCCCAGGTACTCATGGTCCCAAACACCATTCTACCCAGCCCTTTTCGCTTGACCACTCCCTCTTTTGCCCTCTCAGACTCAGCTGAGGTGAGGCCTGTTCTGAGCAACTTGGCTTAAACTCTTCCTCCTCCAGACTGGGCAAGGGATCCTCCCTCTGGGCCCCATTCTACCTTATACTCTTCACACTAAATTGTAGTCTTCTCTGTCTCCCCAGAGGACCTTGTGCTCCTTAAGAACAAAGACTTCCCTTTCTCTGGTCCTAACGACTGGTGTCACAGTGGGGTCTATAGTACATGCTCATTGGATCTTTACTTAACAGCATTGGATAAAAAGGACCGTCAGCCCCACAGGGGTGACAGAGGTGGTGTGCCCAGAGACCACGGCAGAAATGGTCACTAGAACAGCAGTTGGCAGTCTACAGCTCGCAGGTCACATCCAGCCTGGGTCCTGTTTTGGTGGGACCCTTAGTCTCAGAATGGCTTTTACATTTTTTTTATGGATTGTAAAAAGAGAGAAATAAAGAATATGCAACAGAGGCTGTATGTGACCCTTTACAGAAAGGTTTGCCAACCCCTGCACCACAGGCAACTCAGGCCCAGGAGCCTATGCCTGAGCCGCCATTCCTTGTAGAAGTTACACAACCTTTTCCTTGCCAGTTCTCCACTCCTTTTACCCCTTCACTCACCAGTGGAAGTTTTGGTGTGCTCGGGGTCCCCAACTGTCAGTGCTTCCTAGGGTAGGTGGCACAGTTTTCTGGGGTTAAATCCTGTCCCTGTCACTCACCCAGCCATGGGCTCTTAAGTGACATCATTTTGGGTTCCAATTTCCCTTTTGGTGATGAAAGTCTAGAACAAAGTATAGTAATCCCCCCTTATCTGTGATTTTGCTTTCTGCTGTTTCAGTTAGCCACGGTCATCCATGGTCTGAAAATATTAAATACATATAGATCACTGAGAACAGTGCCTGGGACGGTGAGCAATCTATAGATGTTAGCAGGTGGTGCTAGTGGTAATAGTACTAGTAAGTCATAAAGGGGATAAAAAGCACACCCAACTCAGGTTTGTTTGTTGTTTGTTTTGTAACAGGTGCAAAGCACTGTGCACAGGGCCTGCTATACAGTAAGCACTCGGGAAGTGGTAGCCCTTGTTGTAAACTGGCTGTTCCCTCTGGTGTAGATGGTGAAAGGCTATTCCAACCGGGCACGGAGAGCCCGCCTTGCTGAACCCCAACTGCAGGACCAAAATGACCTGGGCCTGTTTGGCAGGTGGCAGACCGAGGAGTACCAGCCACCTGTGGCTGTGGATGGCAAGGTAAGGGCAGTGCTCAGTGGGGTCAGGACCAGGCTGCTTCATTCTGCAGTTGGCCAGACCTGGCATGCCACCCCTGCAGGTCCCCCGGAATGAATTTGGGAACGTGTACCTCTTCCTGCCCAGCATGATGCCTGTTGGCTGTGTCCAGCTGAATCTGCCCAACCTGAACCGTGTGGCGCGTAAGCTAGGCATCGACTGTGTCCCAGCCATCATCGGCTTCGATTTCCATAATGGATACTCCCATCCCGTGTGCGTGAGGGGCCTTCCATAGAAGCTGGAAGGAGGAGCAGAGAGGTCACAGTGAAGTGGGTGGGAAATTGATGAGGGGTTGATGGAGGTAGAGGCCCAGTGGCTCTTATTTTCCAGGTTTTACTCTGAAATTGCAAATCAGCCTTAACACTTTACCCTTTACTTTTACACTTTGACACTTCTACTATGGCTTCCATCCAGAAGCAGTGATGCCAGTATTCTAACAATATTAGATTAAAACACTGCTTCCTGAGGGTAGTCACAGGTGACCTAATGGGGTCAGCATCCTTCTTGGTTGGTGACCTGTCCTGCATGCAGTGGGGGCTGGCAAGGGCTCTCATCCCAGCTCTTAGGCAGGGCCTGGGGAAGAAGCAGTGCCAGTGTCCACAGGCCTTCCTCCTGCATGAGTGGTATCTGTTAGCAGCTATGGCCAGGATTGTGGACCGGCTGACCCAGGAAATCCTTCAGTGCTTAGGAGCAGCCTGCTGTCCTCCACAACGGGAGGAGGAGAGGCCAGAGCAGGAATAAGGCTCAAGAAAGACCACCCATGTTACACCCCCACAGAACTGACGGGTACATAGTCTGCGAGGAATACAAAGACACACTCCTGGCCGCCTGGGAAAACGAGCAGGCCCTCATTGAAAAGAAGGAGAAGGAGGTGAGCAGCCTGCCCGGGGCTGGCCTGGGCGGGGCCTGAGGTGGGAAAGCACAGGGGCAGGGGAAGCAAGCGCACAGCTGCAGGTGCCTCGCTCGCAGCAACTGTAAAAGGAGAGTCTGTGCACTCTGAAGCTCTTTCTGGCTCTGACTCCACGAGGGCACTCTAGGAGGCCAGCACTGGAAAAAATGGTCCTGTCTACACCTCAGAATCCACTATCTGCCTGGATGCCAGCTCCAGGGACAACTGCCCTGCTGCTGACACCTGCCTCTGTTAAAAGGAATTGCCTATGGTCCAGGTCTGGAGAACCTCCCCCCCTAAAAATTTTAGAGTTGGAAACAATAAAAAAGAGGCTTTTGTTTTTGATGCCTTTTATAAATCACTCCAATTTTAAAGCTGAGACTTGGTAAACTTTTAATCTAAAATGTGTGTGTGTGTATCCATAATGATACTTTTCCTGAAAATGGCAGTACTCAACATTTTATGCCTGTTTCGTTTTTTTGCTGCAGAAAAGGGAGAAGCGGGCTCTAGGGAATTGGAAGCTGCTGGTTAAAGGACTGCTCATCAGGGAGAGGCTGAAGCTTCGCTATGGGGCCAAGGTCAGTGTGGGTCCTTTGTAAAGAAGACAAGCCTGGGGTGGAGAGGGGGGAATCAGAAATCACTGGCCACCATTCTGCCTGGACATCAAGTCCTAGATCGATCAGCTTTAAGTTTTGATATCACAGACCTGTGTCTCCCAGGCCCTGTGCCCTTACCTTATTGGGAAAGGTGTCCCTAGAGTCAGCCTCAGCTGCCTCTTATGGCCCCCCGCCCTGCCCCAATGTCCCCTTTTCTGCCCATCTTGCACAAGGGAGGAAGTTCCTGCTCTGGTGCTAAACCCATACAGAACGAGAGTTCTATATTTCTGTGTTTGATCCACTATTCTTGGCCCAGTGCCTGTGACCATCCCTCGGGACAGGAATATTCTTGCAGCACCTGCCATGTGGCAGGCCATCCTGTGGGCACAGGTGCAGATTTGACATGCAGGCCCCAGACAGTTAGGTGGTGTGATCAGTACTGGGTCAGAGACAGCAGAAACATGCTCTGGGAGCAGCTAGGACCACACATCTCCTACCACCCGTGCTGCCTATTTGCCTTCAAAAAAGAGTCTTGTCATCTTGTCGTCGCTCCCTCAAATCCCTCCAGTGACCCCTTCTCCTGGCTTCATGTCTGACTGGTTCCTTCCTAGCACTGTGCTTTCACCCTGTGCATCCAGCTCCCCGCCTCAGCCAGCCCAGGCTCGGGAGTGCCTCTTCAGAGCACTGGGCACTTTTGTTCAGAAATGAATACATGCAAAGCACCATTTAATAGTGATCTCCTAGATTTGATTGTACACTCCTTGATTGTACATGCCTAGACATTTGGGTGTTCCCTCAGCTCGTAGTTACCAGCACCTGCTTGGATGAGTCCCCAGTCTGAGGAAGACACAGGAAGACAGACCTTAGTTCTCCCCCAACCCCATGCAGCACCCTTATCCTCCCAGAGCCACACAGCTCCAGGCAGGCTGTTGCTAGGACCTTCACTGCCTCATGTTGGTGCTTCCACACATCTATCTGGTCACTGACCTGTGTCCTGTTTCCCTGCACTGCCCACACCTCTCCAGAGTGAGGCAGTAGCTCCCCACGCAGCAGGCGGTGGACTCTCTTCTGATGAAGAGGAAGGAACCAGCTCTCAAGCAGAAGCGGCCAGGATACTGGCCGCTTCCTGGCCCCAAAACCGAGAGGCTGAAGAACAGAAGCCGAAGTGCTCTAAGAAAACCAAAAGGGAAAAGGCAGCGGCTTCCCACCTGTTCCCATTTGAGAGGTTGTGATGTGAGCAGCCACTTCATCATACCGTCTGCCCCACAGGCTTGACACCTGCTGCAGGGGATGGCCAGGCCCTGAGGCAGTGGTGTCTCCACTGAGAAGGCAAACAAGCAGCATGCACTGTGGACAAGGATCCAGGGGACAGAAGGGTCAAATTGAGGTGGTGCCGCAGTTCTGGTCTGTCCCCAGTCCTTGTCAGATTCACTCAGGGTAGGGCCTTCAAAGCTTTTTGCTCCCACACCCTATGCCTTGAGCTATGGAACCCTTCCCTGGAGACCCTCCTGCTCCTCGACCTGGTTCTTCCCATCTTTGGAAACATGAATCCGTTTTTTTAATAGAAACCACTGGGAAGTTTTCAGATGATGGTGCATTAGGAATGCACCATTCCTTTCTTCCAAGCAGGTTCTTCCTCTGTCAGACACTGGCCCTCTTGCCTTCTGCAAACTTCGGATCCTCTCTCTGCAGGCCACTCACTTTCCCTCCATCAGGTTTATTAATACTGCCTAATGCCTCTGTAGTATGGGGAGCACAGGTCATCTCAGATTGTGGTATTGTTCAGATCCACTTGTCAAAGTTACGTTTCATGATAGCAGAAGACTAGAATAAAAAGCCAAAATCAGGAAGAACAAAAAGGAAAAATACGAACTCAGAATGAAAAAATTATTAGTAAAAGTGGATCAGTGTTAAACTAGAATTTATTCATTACTGGATAAATTTTATAAAGCTCTATGCACTGTAGATATGTAGGAGAAATAAGATTTTGAGAAAAAAAATAAAGCATTTATCTAAAAAGACTCAGGTCTACATTTTCTTTCAGATTTTACATCAGCTAAGAAAACACGATAGCCGTGATTTGTACACATCAAGACTACATTAAAGATAAGGTTTTGTTTTCATGTAGGCTGGGAACTTATTACACACATGGATTTTTTTCTATGTTTAAGCAAGGAGGAGGTATTTCATCTTTGACAGGAGCCATTAAAAATTTGAATCAGTTTTATCCAAGGGAAACAAACAAAACACTTGAGATATGACTCATATGCACAAAAGCCTGGTGGGAAGGCTCTTGTTGAGAAACAAACTGGGGTTGCCATGGAAACTGCAGGGCCTCACACTTCCTGCACCAGAGCCCTTCCTTTCCTAGAGGTAAGAGACTTTTCTGAGAATTCAGTCTAGCATCACCCTGTCTCCGCAGAAATAACAGGTCATCTTAGGCTGATGTCAAGCTCCTAGGAGGCATTGTGGAAGTCAATAAAACTTTTAGTTTTGAAAAATATAAAAATAGGTTTTGGAAAGTTATCACTCACCTGCTTCAAATCTTATAGCAAATAAAAACTATTTAAATTGCTAACTTCAGAGTGGGCAATCAGCAGCAGTCTATTACTTCAGAGGCAAAAAGAATGAAAAGTTAATGTGTCACATGTGTTTGGCATTTCCTGGGCTTTCTCCCAGTTAGTCCTCAGCAAACTGGGGAGGGGGGAGAATGGCACTGTCCCCATTTTATGAATGAGGGAACCTGAGGCTCGAAGAGTATAGATTTCCCCAACATCACACAGCCAGTCAGTGGCAGACTTGGGACTGAAATCCATGTGTGTAATAAGTTCCCAGCCTACATGTATGCCAACCCAAAACTAATGATGCCTTTTGCACTGTGTTGGACTGTGGCTCCATCCCACGTCTTCTAGCACATTCTGAAGATGGGTGAAGTGTGAGTCATTCAGTTTAAATCCATCCAAAACAACGTAGCCTTTGGTATTTAAGACTTCTAAGTGCTAGAAATATTGAGTTGCCCTTTTTTAAGAAATTGAAATCTATTTTAATCACTAAAAAAAATTAGCACTGAGTCCAAAATTCACATGGTTTGTACTGAATTTTACAGCTGAGTTCTTTGAGAGAAATTTCAGGAAGAATACAAAAACAAAAGGGGTAATGGCAAGATCCTATAAAAGATAGTTAGAAATTTATTTTGATTTTTCCGTCAAAAATACAAAGATAATACAAATTTCATGATTTTTCAAAGGCATCAAATATTTCACAATATTTTGCTCTTAACACTTAAATTTGGCAGTAACTTAAAATGTAGGAAAAATTACACACCAAATCCCAAGGATTTTGTATGTAGAGTAAAACTTCAATATAACAGACTAATTCAGGTGAGCGTATGTTGTTTAAAGCTGAAAATCCATTATATTATAAGTAGGTTTTCTGAATGCGTACATTAAAAAATTAACATTAGTTTACCTGTTTTGCTTATGTAGATTCATCTGTGTAATTTAAGCATGTATGCAAAGTTTAATTTCACAGAAGTTTCCTATATGTATTACTGTAATTTTAAATTTATACTGAATAGGTCTAGTAAATATGTATATTTACCTGTCACCGCAAGTAGACATGCACACAGCTGGGGCATGGCTTAGTGCATGTCCGAACCTTGGCCAGCATTAAAACTGCTGCAGAAAGTTACACCGTGCAACAACAGAACCAATAAACGTGATCAATGTGGTGTGATTACATGCTAATCATTCACCGAACATCGTTTACAAGCAGTGACCCTTGAATTTAAATACATCGACTATAGTTGTAGGTATATAACATTTATGTCAGCAAAATTACTAGTGTATTTTCCAACATATGGCTTATTTGCTAAAATGTATTAAAAATAACTGAATAACAAAAAAACCTATTATAAGAAATCTTGGTTAAAAGCATTTTTAAATTAACTGTTAATTTTCACATATCACATACGGACCGGAAATTTTGTCCATTAAATCCTAAGTCCATTAAGTTGAGGTCCGCAAAAATTGAGGGTTTACTGTAATGTTTTTTCCAAAAGCATCCTTTGAGGAGTTAGAGATGCAATGAAACTGCTTATGGTGAACATCAGTGAACTATTTCAATCCTTAAATCCAGATAAATCATCTCTGGGGCTGGCTGTCTTTACCATGAAGAATCTGTTTGTAGCACAGATATACCAGGACTATAGGAGAGATTATTAGATCACTATTTTCAAAAGTTCTGACCCCTTAATTCAACTACCAAATACTTGCTAAAGCAACCACTCCCAGCAAGGCAAAAGTAGTGAAGATAAAAACATATACCAAAGAATCTTAGGACATCAAGGTTACAACATACTTTATCTTTCAAAGGGTATAAGTAGTTGGGCAACTTAGGAAATATGTGGATTAAGCATCGGTAGGTTTTATTTTGGAGGAGCAAAGTAGTAGTCACTTAACAGATAAAACGAATCACAGAAGCAGCAACTGGAGGCCCGGCCACTATGTCAGAAGTACTCCAATGATGAAAGGAACAAGGCCAGACAAGCACTCAGATCTACAGCAAGCCTGAGGTCTCTAAGTCTTGATTTTGACTGGGGGTCGCTATGAAGGAGCATAGGGCAATAAAACTTCCAGCCTTTTCCTTTAATAGCTGACTAAAAACTCAAAACTTCAAGTACTGTCTGATGCCAGAGCATGAAAAGAAATGCTTTACTCTAGAGATCCCCCACCTTCTCCCAGAGGGAAGTCAAATCCTTTTGCTAACCCTGTTTCAAAGGCATCCTGAACCTTCCCAGCGCGGCCCAGAATACTGACAGCAGTAACTTTTTTTCAGCCAGGCTAAGTCACAGCTCCAATTTAACACCTTTCTGTGCTCTGAATAACTTCAACTAACAGGTTAAAAGGTGTCTCTTTCTGTAACAGTCTGAAACCTCAGTCATTCAGGAGGTTTTCTGTTTTGCTTTTTAAATCATATTTCAAACAACTCTCTCAGAGTAGGAGAGTACACATGAAGTGAAGCAACAAAAACTCAGGGCCTTTGGAAATCCTAGACACTAAAAGATTCTACCAAACCATAAAACGAGCGCAAAGCCCAATGTTCAGTTTCCCTCAGGACATCTCCAGTGGGTTTTCTCTGAAGTTCCAAATCAAGTTCTATCCACAAATGGTTTATGGTGCCCCACTTTGCAGGGTATGGGCTTACTTAGTCTGGGCAATCCAGTACCGATTAGACACAGCTATAAAGGTGGCCCTTTAGTACCAAGGGCACAGCTAGTGACTGTGGCAGAGCCCTGGCATCTTCTCCAAGGAGGAGAGGCAGTAAGGGGTAAAGCAGCAGGTCTCTGAGTGTAGCCTCCTTGATGTCTGAAGACATCGGCTAAATAAAGCATGCGAACCAGCCACACACAGCCCGAGAAGGGGAGGAAACGAGTAGAACGCTTGTCATGCTGCCAGATAGGAGCTGCCTTCTGCCCATCAAAGCTGCTCACCGACAAGAAAAGGGGTGGAGAGACGTTAACAGATGAACACCAAACCCGACGTAGTGCACGCTGCCAAGTCTGGCCCCTTGAAGAGTGGAGCAGGTGCAGAATCCAAAACCAATGCAGACTCATGCTCTGATGTGGAGCAGGGTCAGAAGAGGGGGCAGGGTGATCTGGATCCTGAAGCTCAAATGGGTGTCAGGTGGGTGCCAGGGCCTGTTTCACTCCAGCTTTTTGGCTGGCACCCGTGTCCGAGCAATAATGATGGGCACCAGGGCCAGACAGGCGATGAAGAGGGCCCACAGGGGCCGGTAGAAGAGCCAGCCGGCAGCCACAGTCAGCAGAGTCAGTGAGGTGGCCACACAGAATGCAAAGGCCTTCAGGCCAATGTTGACCAGGTCTCGGAAGACAGGAAACCAGTCCACTACGGAGAAAAGAAAGGCAGTGAGGCTTCCAAGGATACCATGCTCTATGTCTCAAAATCAGCAGATGGTTCCTGTCTCTAGACGAGGAAGGACCCTTGATGCCAGGTGAGTAAGGGAAGGAGAGGGTCAGTGGTGGAAGGCAAATAACCTCCTAGTGAGGGCTGGAAGATCCAAAAGAGGAGGAGCCCTCACTCCTGAGCTGTGTGGCTGGACACACTGACTGAGCCACCTGTTGCACAGAGCTCCGAGAAGGCATGTGCAAGTGCTTTGTAAACTTTAAACTGCATGTTGAAATCAGTCTGAGGCCACTATAAAGACATTCAATTGTCCCTGGCCAGTGTGGTTCAGTGATTAGAGTGTTACCACCACCACCACTACCCAGCACTGGAGGGCAGCAGGTTCGATTTCCGGTCAAAGGCATGTACCTGAGTTGCAGCTGGATCCCCAGCCAGGCGCATGCAGGAGGCAACCAACATATCACAGCAATGTTTCTCCCTCTGCCCCCCCTTCCTCCCTCCCACTCTTAAAATTCAATGGAAAAAATATCCAAGGGTGGGGATTAACAACAAAAAGACATTCGACTGTGACAGTGGCAAGTACTGTTTGCTGTACACTCACAAAGGAGGCTGGGCCGACCCTTCTGTGGGTGCCTGTTTGGGCCCCTCAGCCATTCCTGGAGGTGCTTGTTCATTTAGGCAGCAGTCATTACCAGTTATCTGTATGCTCAGCTGTGCATGGACTGAGGGAAACGAATTAGCCTCAGCTGGCCCTGCCTCCAGGATCTCGCAGGCTCCTGGCCCAATGTGAAGTCTAGGATCTAGCTAAACCCATCTGGAATTACCCTGTCCCTGGCCTGTCTGGCCTCTTCAGGATGGCATCCCATGACAGCCATCCACTAGGGGAATCTTCACTCAGTGCCCAGGAGGCCCCAGTGGTCTGGTGTCATTGGGTCTGCAGAGGAAGACTGGTGCCCTGCCTGGACTACAGGGTCCTGCAGGCCACCTCATGGATTCTCTCTGTCTACTCTCAGCACCGAATTTGGCCCTGATAAGGAGAGTTCATGTTTTTGACTATTGACCATGTGTTCAGGCACTATGTGCACCATCTCATCAAAACCTCAGGCGCACCCCCTGTAAGGACGCTATTTTGGGGTGTGTTTTTTAATCCTCACCCGAGGATATGTTTTTTATTTGAGAGAAACATTGATCAGTTGCCTCCCGTACACAATCTGACTGGGCATCAAACCCACAACCTAGTTATGTGCCTTGACCAGGTATCGAACCTGCAACCTTTTGGTGTCTGGGACAACCAAGCTCCAGGCTAGGGCAAGGCCGGTACTATTCTTCACCTCATTTTATCCATAAGGTCACAGAGGCCCAGGGAGTTCAACGTGCCCAAAGTCCTACAGCTAGAAAGCACCAGAGCCAGGATTTAAACTCAAGACTGTGAGCCCAGAGCCTGAGCTCTAAGTCATTACTCAGAGCCTTGAAAGGACAGGGATCTTATCTGTCCTATTCATTGTGTTGTCTCCAGGGCTTACAGCAATGTCTTGCATACACCAGGCACTCAGTAAGTTCTCATGGAATAAATGCTTTTGTGTTGTAGGCTCCTGAATCACTCCACCTGCACTTTGGAACTCTCCGTGCTTTGAAGTATGTTCTGAGTCTGGAATGTCAGCACTCCGCATGTGGAGAGAATCAGAGGATCACAGGCAGGCAGAGATTCGAAGAAGGACCCCCTGAGATAGACTCTAGCCTCCTCATCTTGACGATGGGGCAACTGAGAGGGGAAATGGCCTGTCCATTTCCACAGTGGGCTTAGTGCAGAGGAAAAAGTTGGAGGGTTCTGTTCAAATGCAGATCTCTGCTGAATGGTGCCCAAGATGCGCTGGCTTTTCTGAGCACAATTCAGCTATCCAAAGAAAACCTTGGAGAAGTGTCCTTCTCCCTGCACCTAAGTTTTCCCATCTATAAAATGAGGCAGGTGGCCCTCCCAGCTCTGATGTTCTGGGATATATGCAACCAGCGCTCCCCAAATGGAATGGGTAAGTGGGGGAGAGGTTTCTGTTGGAGCCCAGAGAAGGCTGGACAGAATCATCTGACTGGACAGGGATACACTGGGGTAAAGGCTCAGATGGAAAGCCCAAAGCCCTATCCTCCTATTGCAACAGTCTAGACCCAGCCCTTACTCAATCAGCCTGGGCGCTCAGTCCTGAACTAGGCCGGGCCACTTGGGCAATTACTGGGCTCACTGGTGCCAACCTCAAGCTATGGGAGGAGCCCAGCAAACTCTCCCTTGTGCCCCAGAATCGCTGGCTATCCCAAATCTAGCCAAAAGGGGGTGGGGAATGAAGTATAAATCTTTTAGTGTTTCCTATTTGCCAAACATTTCATAAAACTACAAATTAGGTGTGAGATAACTGAAGCTGAGATGGGAAAGAGGATGGCCCAAGGGTCCAGAGCTCTGACATAACGGATTTCAGATCCAGCTCACTGCAAAGGCTGGCCAGCCTCATCATCACTATTCAGCTGTGGTATGCGTGTGAGCCAGTGGGCAGATGGATGAGTAGAGCCAGACCCCCAGACCACAGAGGCTAGACCAGCCTCCCAGGACTGGCATCCACCCCATCCTCACCCCCTGGAAGCATCCTGTCTCACATGCCTGCCTGCCTGCCTTTGCTCATTCATCCCAAAGCTATGGAGTGGGGACTCAGAAATGGACCAAGTGCCCAGTCCCTGCCCCAAGTTGAATATCATCAGGCCAGAAAGGCTGACATGAGGTGTGAGAAAGCATGAAGCAAGCACAGGAGGGTGGGCAAGATTCCCCCCACCCCAGTCTCTCCTCACCTACCAAGAGTATAGAGGATCCGTGTCATGAGGTTGAGGCCCATAAACATGGCCATCCAGCCAGCAGCCCGCAGGCCCCAAGTCTTCATGGAGTTGCTCTTTTGTTCTCTAAGAAACACCTCCTACAGGACAAGGTGGAGGAGTATGGTGTCATATCTCATGTCTGGGGGAGTCACCAGCCTACCCAGCTGGCAAGGCAGGTGGCTGAGGGGACCATGCCAACGCAGGAGACATTGGCCATTTCTGATAGACCAGAGGAAAATAAGAGCACATCTCCCACCCAGGTCTCAGTGCCTCCCCAACCTCGCACAGCAGAGCAAGGTAAGCGCACACATCTTTGTGGAGGTATGGGCCCTCCTCAGGTCACAGCCCACCGCCTTCAGGAGTCCTTAGCCCACCATCTCATCTGGAATAAACCTGACCCCCCCTCATACTACAGCAGTACCTTTCTGGGGTCATTTATCAACAACCATGACAATGGGGACATTTGAATGTGCCTGCAGGCACTATGGGAAATGCTGCATGTATGGTATCCAACTTAATCTTGGACACTATTCATGTTACCTGAGACATGTTTCTCCTAGTTTCCCTCCTATTCAGGCTGCTCCTTCCCAGTCTGCAGGGCCATTCTTTCCCTCTTGCTGTCCTCTAAATGCAGAAATTCTCTGGCTACTTCAGTCTACACTGTCTCCCCAGGAAATCTATATATGTCAGTGCCCCCTCTTATAGGCTGCAGCCCTGGCACCTATCTGGGCCTCACCCCTGTGGTTCCCACTGCCTATGTGACATCTCCATGTCTTGGCACATCCGACACTGACACTGGAGTTTCCACCCCAACCTGTTCTCTGTCACTTCCATCTCAACAAATGGTACGCCCACCCACCTGCATAAGCTGAATCCTGGGTGTCAAACTTGGCTTGTTCCTCCCCCAACCATCTCCCGTCCAGGCCATCAGCAAGTCTTGTCAACACTGGGTCCACATTTCCTCAAATCCTCTCCCACCACCGTCAACCCCTCTCACCAGGACCTCTGGAGTAGCCTCCTCCCCACTGGCCTTCCTGCTTCTGCCACCGCCACCGCCTCCTCCATGCAGCAACCTGCCAAGACCCTCAGTCCCACTGGGGCACAGGTCAAGCGTCCTTCTGCCTCGGGGCCTTTACATATGCGGTTGCTCTGCTAAGAGTATGTTTGCCCACAGTTACGCCTGTCCAGCTCCTACACATGCTTCCAGTCTTGGCCCAAATGCCATTTCTTCAGGGAGCCTACCTGGTCATTATCTATAGTAATAACAATGCTAGCTAACATTTATTGCTTATTATTTATCAGTCACTGTCCTAAGTGCTTTACAAGTATTACTTAATCCTCAGAATAACTTGATAAGGTAGGTACTTATCTTTATTTTACAGGTGAGGAAACTGAGATTCTGAGAGGATAAGTGACACACCCAGGGTCTTACCCCAAGCAGTTAACTAAGCCATAAGCTTGAGGGCAGGGATCATGTCTCTTTTCTCCCTATGTCCTTGGTGCTCAATAAAAATGTTGAATGAATAATCTTCACAACCACCAAATAAGGTAGGGATAATTGCAATACTGATTTTTTTAAATTTCCATTTTACAGAGGGGGGCAACAGGTTGAGAGGATAATCTACTGGCTCAAGGTCCCTTAGCCAGCAGAAGGCAGAGTAGGGCTTGAGATGGGGCCATCTCCAGTGTTCACGCTTGTCCTCACTGCACTCTCCTGTCCCTAGGACTGAAATCTGGAGGGCCTGACTCGCAGGGTTTGGGTTTCTCAGGGCCCCAGGCTGCCTCCTTGGCTCAGGGCATTCTCTCCTTGCTTGACAGAGACCCAGACACTGTGCTAGAGGCCCAGGGTGATCAGGAAGCTCCTGCCCATCTGCACTGTCAGAGCCTTCCCTCCTGGGGAGTTATCTAAGCTATGAGGCCCACCACTCCTCTCTGGGGAGCAGCTCTGAGACCTGGGCGTCTGCCTGTAGGAGGATGGAAGCCTGGAGACAGGGCTGGAGCTCTGGGAGAGAGAAAAAGGCCTGGACAGGGATTCCTAATGTTAGAAACTCCCCAGGGGGCTCTGAGAGCTGCTGGAGGAAAGGGTGACTCATGCTCTGCCAGGCTGGGAGGTGGCAGCTCCACCCTGAGGTAGGTAACTGGGCTCCTGGGCTCCAGCCCAACCACACCCTAGTCCTGGCTAGAGAAGGCTGGGCCCAACACCCTGGGGCTGGGGGCTAAAGTGAAAGGATGACAACTGAGGGGCTAAGCCCTGACACCTGCCCACTGCCTTCATCCTTTCAAGCCCTTCTGGAGGCAAAACCCAGCAATCCTATTCAAAGCAAGCGCAAAGTGTGCAAGTGATACACTGTGTTCATCAACAATGGAAAAGCTGTATCTTTCTGTTAGAGAAGGATTTTCTGCTTAGAGAAGAGTGGCTAATTTTTGAAGCATGCAATTGAACTAATCAGTACGTCTTTGTACCTGTACTCCTTGGGACTTAAGGTGAGGCATGACCCTCCCTCTTCCTTCTACAGATGGGAACAGGGTACTCACACTTACCTGGTCCTGGGACTCTGCAGTTCAAGTCTGTTCACTGCCCACCTCATGCTCTTCAAGTAGCACCTCCCAACAAGGGGCCCCTTGCCTGCTCAGTAGTCTTCTTCCCCTCACCCCTCTCTCTGGGCAGTGGCCCCACACGGATACTCCTGATGCCCCCAACAAGATGAACTCTGACTTGCCTGGACTACTTCCAGCACTGACCTCTTCTCCTCACTTGGCACTCAGCAGAAATGTTACTGAGAGACCACTGTCAAAGCAGATTTCCTATTATCATGCCTGTGTATCTTTTTTTTTTTTTAATATATCTTTATTGATATCAGAGAGAGGAAAGGGGAGGGAGAGAGAGAGATAGAAACATCAATGATGAGAGCGTCATTGATCAAGCCTGCAACCGGGGATGTGCCCTGACCAGGAATGGAACCCCGATCACCTGGATCCTAGGTCGATGCTCAACTGCTGAGCCACACCCAGCCGGGCCATGCCTGTGTATCTCTGAGCATCTGCCTCCTCTTGATAACACTCAGAGCAAGGTGCCCTTACTTGTTTTACCGATGAGTCACTCTCCCCTACAAGACTGGAAGCCTGTGAAGGAGTCTGTTTTGCCCACTGTTCTATCCTTAGTGCCCAGCACAGTCTGGCACACAGGGAGATGCTTACTCCTATTTCTTTTTCTTGTCTTGTTGCACTGGCTATGACCTCCAGTAGTAGGTGCTCATTTAATAACCTTATTAAAGTGGCAGGGAGGGAGACACCAGTCCCTCCATCACAGTGGTAGGCAGCAGCAACTCACCTCTGGTGAGAAGTCCCCATGGTGCAGGAGAAGCAAGGTGTCCCCAGACTTGGTGGAATATGGAACTAGCTGGTCACCTCGCTGCCGGGCAATCACAGTGACCTGGTCAGAAAATTTAGTGTTAGAGCTGAGGGGGTGATCAGCCCACCCAGTCCCAGCACACCTCTACACTGTGTGCCTACTAGGGAAGTGAGTGAGGAGACCCATGCCATCCCTGAGCCTCTCTCTCCATACATCGGCCTAGAGTACAGCAGCTCCCAGAGCTCCTGCTAAACTGCTTCACTTGAAGCTCCAGGAAGGACCCTAGGCAGAAGCAGGGGCTGGGCTGGGGGTGGGACTATACAAGACAGGGTCAGAAATTCAAGATCAAGTATTTAGAGAAAAAATTGGGGGCTAGCGGAGGAGGGGCTGCATGTGATTGGAAGAACTCTCATTAGGCATAATTATGAGATTCCCCTAGAACTACATTTCTTAACCTAGGTTCTACTGATATCCATGGATGTCTTCAGGGGACACAAAACTCTGACACTGACCAAAGGCATGCCTAACTGAACACAGATCCTAGAGGGAGGGTCCAAAGCAATATTCACAATGTTGTCCACTGCATCCATGCCCAGGGAGATTAGGAAGCCTGCCTTAGTATACCCTGGAGAAGCTACATTACCACATGAGCTGGGCCCAGGTCAGGGTCATCACTGCTCAGCCCCGCGTAGGAAAAGGAAACTCGCAGGTCCCCGACCTGAGGGGTGGAAGAAAAGTGGGGTGAGTGAGGCCAGGACCAGTCAGCCTGGGCCTGAGTCCATGGTACTGTTAAACCCCTACACTCACCCTCTTTTCCCACCTCTACAGTTTTGCCCAGGTGGCTCCATCACCTAGAATCCCCTCCCTTCCAATTTCATTTGGCCAAGTGCAGCTGTGGATTCCACTGAACCAAACCAGTCTTAAACGAGAATTTGCTGTGTGCTGTTGAGAGAGGGTACTTCAAGGGCCCTGATCTTTGCTATGTGAACTGCCCAAGCCCCTCTGTGCACCTCCGGATACTTGGGGTTTTCACTGTGGTAGAAATAGTCTCCCCGGCGAATGATGTCCACGTGCGGATCCTCCAGCTTGGACAGGCTCAATGGCTTGAAGTTGTCGACTTTGTCAATGAGACCTGAGAGAAACAGGGTGGTTAGAGACAATGGTGTGCAATTTGAAACACCCCTGATCTGCAAACCTCTCAGCTTGACATCCTTCCCACTGCACCCTCACACAGCCCTGCTGCTGCCCCCTCCTGGCTCATCCCTCTTGGGGCCTTCGAATGCACAAGTCCCACCCAGAGTGCCCTTCACCAGCTCCATCTCTTCCACAGCTGCTCCTTGCCAGCCCCACTGCAGTCTCCATCTCCTCCTGGAAGCCTTCCCTGACCCTCTCTCCATCCAGTCAGAGCAACCACAGCTCTGGGAATGGTCTTAGCTCTGTACCCATTACATCTTGGGTCTGGTTATCCATGTCCAAGGCTGGATACCATGCCACAGGGAGACCACTTGAGGCCAGGGCTGGTTGGCACAGCAGGCACAAGCTGAGCAACAGAGCACATGGCAGACAGGCTGAGCCATGAATCCCAGGCCTCTCCTCTTTCTCCCTGGTTATTGGGGCCCTCAGCGTTTTCTCTCCCACCTACCTGGGTCAAGCTCAAGGACCGGGCCCTGGAGTTACTGTGGCCAGTGATACTGCCTTGTCCCTTGAAATTTTCTCTTTGGAATAACTT